TTATTATCTACTATAATTTATCGACAAATTTAAAATTTTATTCAAAAAATCCAAATATTACAGATTTTATTCGATTTTAAATTTTTTTTATTTATTTTATTAAAATAAAAAAATATTTAAAATGTAATATTTGGATTTTTTAAATAAAATTTTAAATTTGTCGATAAATTATAGTTGATAATAAATTGCACCACTTTAATTTGAATTATCTCAAATAGGGGGGCCTGGAGGCAGGGTAGGCGACAGGAAAAACTAACTTTTTTTCGCAAACTTCAATTTAAATTCTGTTTGCGCCGAACTTGTTTATTTAATGTCAATATAAACTATTATAAATTTGGTGTGGGTCCCATGTCTAATAACTGAGATATTGGTATACTTAAAATCCACCAGCCGCCACTGTCAAAGGTTAAAATTATAAGTTAATATAATGTTATGTAACTTCTGAAATAACCTACTTTTTAACTTAAGTTATAATTGAACCGGTGAGATTAAGAACAGTACAAGTCCAAAAGTCAAAATTTTGATAAAATATTTAAAAAAATCAGATTTATAGTTCTAAATGCATTTTTGTAAGAATATTTTAACTATTTTATAAAATATAATATTCATATTCTGTAAAATGATTTATATCTTTTCACAAAAATGTATTTTAAACTTTAAAATTGATTTTAGAAAATGACTTGTCAAAATTAAATTTTTGGACTTGTACTGTTCATATTCTCACAGAATTAAATTATAAGTAATATTACTAACTACATATTTGGTTTATATATAGTCAATCCTCTTTTTGCTCCAATTTTCTTTATTTTGTTATCCATGTTTTGTTTGGTCCCCCTTTTTCTTTTGCCAATGTTACCAGCTTCCACCACCAGAAGAGTATTTTAAGAAGATACAGATTAAAAAAAAATCATTTAAAGTAACCTTGCGGTGTGAACATCCCCTTTAAAAATGACTTATTTTTCAACGAGAACTGTATTCAGAAATTCCGAGTTAACATCGGTATTTTTCGCGCAAAGGCACAGAGCACGTTTGATCGTTTCTGATATACAGCGTGCGTTGTGCAAAAGATTTTATCCGATGTAAACGGTAGCAGAAAGTCATGTCATTGGCCCACGCCTTTTAAATCAAGACGATACATAAAGCTTTACGACCTTTTAAAAGCACCATTGAAATTATTTTTATGGCGATATTCTTTGTTACGTCGCAAAAAGCTTTTTAAATTTTATGTGCCGAAGAATTTTTGCTTTAATTGTAGTATTATTGTCTTTTTTATCATAAAAATTGACATGTTGTATGAACATCTTAAATTCTTGATTTCATGGCAAGTTTAATTTACTATTTTAATATATGATTTGTTTTTAAATAATTACCTTTTTGTTTTTGGTAAGGTAATAACTGGACGCCCTGTATAAAAACAAGCAAAACTATAATCTTCCAAAGCACTTATTACATAGATTGTTTTTTCTTATGATCTTACATTTGCTCAGTTATTGCCTGTCCAACCATATGCATAGGATTTTATTGCATGCTAGAGACATTGTAATTTAATTTTTTTGCATTAAGTCCTCTAACATATCCGGGTTAAAAAACCATTTATGTTATTTTAATGTACGAAATCTACTCAAGATAATATCAGAATCAGTATTTTAAGCTGCAGAGTTAACAACAAAATTGTTAAAAAAACTTTAAATTTAAAGTTATATTTCCTTTTAACTTTTTGATGATATTTTCATTAGACTAAGTGCCGTTTTGTCTGAAATAAAGAGGAAATGTTAAACGAACAAATAAACCTATGCATTCTCCAAAACTCGCTCCTTTCAACGCTTCTGTTTACATGAAATGTTATTCCCTTCCGCTTAAAAACATTCCATAAATTTGGGCGATACAGATTTTGTAATTAGGTTAAGAGCGTTTTAAGGCCTTTATTTATAAAACCAAGCACTTAGTACCTAGACACATAATTTTATAAAATAGTTTTATTATTCAGTAAATAATACAATATATTATATTATACAATGGCAGGCAAATTATAAAACCTAAATTTCTTAATTTGGTTACAGAAATATTTATATCACTCTTATATACCCCTTAAAGAACTTATTTGGGGAGTTTATGAAGGTTATCGGTACCTATTTTAGTAACACTATAAAACCCAAGTTTTATAACTAGAGGTAATTGAAATATTATGGAAACCACTATATAACTTCCTAAAGAGCTGCTACCGGCTTTTTTCCTTCTTTTAATATTTCTCTCTTCCTCAGGCACATTTAAAATATATATTTCTTCATAGGTACCCTATCTTTCTTATTGTCATCTTATTCATTAACTTATTTAAACCACGTGAATATTTTGAGAAGCCACCCTATTGAAAATGCCATATAGAACCATATAAAAAACACGTATCTGGATTCTATATGGTTTCTATCTGGTTCAATATAGGTATTTGAAACAGGCATTTCACTATAGAACCAGATAGGGAAACCTATCTGGAAATACATATAGAACAGAAACCAGATAAATCCATATACATCCATATACATGTCTTTTTAAAGACATGTATATGGATGTATATGGATTTATCTGGTTTCTGTTCTATATGTATTTCCAGATAGGTTTCCCTATATGGTTGAATATGAAAATTTTTAAAATGGAAATCCATATTCAACCATATAGAATCCGTAATGTAAACCAGGACTTTCCATATAGGACCTATAGAACCAGATACGTTTCCTTATCGGATTCAATATGGGTTCTATATGGCATTTTCAATAGGGCAAGTATGGCGAAAATATTAATTTAAATTAAAGATTTTTTACTCAATACGACTTAAAGTGCAAAGTAATTTTTATTGTAAATGTGTACACAATACTTCGATAAATATTTTTTATAGTATTAAAAAATATATGAAAATATTTTTTTAAATACATTAGGGCGATTCTACAAAAGTTGGACAACTTGATGTCATCAGTCAATAGAGTAGGTATTTTAATATTTTTTTGTAAATAGTTTAGTATATTACAAAAGATCCAGGTTTTTTTAACTTGTCCACCCAATATTAATGTATTTTTTTAAAAGCACGTTTGTAGAAAAACATAATAAATATTCAAAACATCAGTACCTTGGCGTGTCACAACTCCTGAATCAAATATTTGAGTGATTTTATTTTAAAATATATTCAATTTATCTTAAATTTTTCAATTTCACTACAAACTATAAAAATTAAATAATGTATTCTTCATATTTTATCATAGATTTGAATAATAGCAATTTTTAAAATCTTTGTACTCACTTTTACCCGTCAGTTCTATGTCCAATGTTCAAAATCAAAATTCCTGCGAAATATTGGAGTTTAAACGTCAAGTCCTCGTTTTATTTTAACTCAAATGTTGGTAAAAAAATTACCCACAGAGCCCGCCCTTTGCACGACATTCATCTTGAAAACAATGCAAGTGGCGAAGTTGTGGTGAATGCACGTATAGTTCCAGTCAAAATTTCAGTACTGTGGTGAGTAGTTATTTTCTTACGTATATATATTTCATTGTAATTTATATAAGGCTATATGTGATTTGTTGATAAGTAGCATCCGCTAATAAAAAGTATCAGTAAAATACTTAATTCCGAATTATAATCTCAAATTTGTATCCCATTCATCAGTACCGTGTCGTCAGTTCCATGTTCGATGTTTCGGTTATCTTTTTTTCGCAAACTTCAATTTAAATTCTGCTTGCGCAGAACTTGTTTATTTAATGTCATTACAAACTCATATAAATTTGGTGTGGGTCCCATATCTAATAATTGAGATATCGGTATACCGAAAATCCACAACCCGCCACTGATGTGTGGTATTATTTGATTTTAAGATATTTAATTTATAATATGCTCAAAGTTGCAATAAATTTTATATTTTTCAATAAATTATGTATTTAATTAGTACCCTGGTATACTCGTCACTTTCCTTGCAAATTTAGAAAACACAGATATTTCAGAAACTGTTTGAAAAAGTGAACAGTATATTTATTATATTATCTATATTCTCATAACAAAATACTGTTTAATTTTCTCCGAAAACTATATAAACAAAATGAGGTCAAAAGTTGCCCAACTTTTGTAGAATCACCCATTAATATATTTCCTTTGCTTACATTAAAGTAGTGAATTTTTTACCTTGGTTTGGTCAATTAAGGTGTTTTTAATACAATCCGATAAACATTAATTTTATCTAAAAAATAATCATGGCGGAAATAATGTATCAACCTTGTGCCCTCTTATATTGCTCATGGTAATTTTATATAACCTAAGGTACTACTTCAGTTTTATAGGACTATCTAAGTTACTTAAAGTGTAAAGTAAATAATTTTAAAACTCTTATATTCATTGTAGTAACTGTCGTTTCTACAAGTGATGTTATAAAAATTTTGATAGGCAACCATCTAACTGCTCAGGTTTGCCATTTTTGCCTGCAGTAATAATGGTTTTAACGCAATGGATTCAATTTATTTCACTAAACATTCAATTTAATGCACTTTTAAAATATGTATTTATGTTAATAATATATTATAATACTATTCTTATACTATTCTTATACTTATATTCTATGCTAAATATTTTCTTTTCAACCAATTTTTATTTAAAATTATGAAAAAGCATTGCGTCGAAAGCTAATACTATGTTTAATTTCTGTTTCAATTACACAACATTTTTGGTTTATTAAGCACTTAAATAATTAATAACTCACAATTTTTATTTAAAAAAATTAAAGGCACAATAGTTTTATAAAACAGGTAACCGCAAACTTTAAAACTCCTTTATAAAACGGGTAACCGCAAACTTTAAAACTCCTTTATAAAACTACTGGTAACGGTTACTAAAGGTTATATAAAATGTTTGTAGAAACAATTATGTAATCTAATTATATACCCAGAGTTTACAGTAACCTTATATGACCATTATAAAACTAGTTAAGTAAATGGCGACCTTTGTTCAAAATTCAAACAACTCACCAGGGTTTGGTAGTTATCTTCTTCGCTTAAATCTCCATAGCTGTCAAATAGGCTATCTTCTGTGGTCGTGGTAGTCGTGGTGGTCAAATCTTGCCATCTAGAGTGCCGTAATCTGTGTCTGCTGTCGCTTATTTTACTGATGCTGTCGATACGCGAATTCACCCGATTCAAATTTTCGAATCGGCCGTGTCTAAACTTCACATTGTCGTCGATTTTGTTGTAACTCGGGAATTTAGACGGCGTCAAGTTGGCGGTATTTTGTTTCTTCGAGTTGTAGGGGTTGGTGTTCGAGTATTTGGTGTAGGTCGATTCTGCCAACATGAAAAAATAAAAACACAAGGCCACTCGCGAACAACGGATCCACATTTTTTTGTTCGATTTTTTATTTTATATTTTGAGGTGATGGCATCTTTAATGTCTGTGTAAGGTGAAGTGAGGCACTAATTATTTGAGAACACTGCAGTATCTGAAAAAAAATTTACCTAAGTGGGTCTCGTTATTATTTTAAAAGAAAGTACCTACAGGTTTTGTTTGTGTGGTTTAATTTGCATAAATTGAGAAAATCAACAAAATAAATTTTAACAAGATTTACAGAATCTGCCAAACGTTTTTAGAGTGCAAATAAATAGGTTACGGGTGAACAAATGCTTAAAATTATTTTTAAACAAATTTAGAAAACAATTAAAATTTTTGTATTCAAATTATTTAGAAATAAACTTTCAATTTCAAAGAAATTATAACAATTTATGATTATAAATTCTCTAACTATAACTTTATTTATTTATGTGAAAGTATACGAGATATGGCTAGAACAATTTTTTCTGTGGAAAAGTGTTATTGCGTGAGATGACTTAATCATAATAACAGGAAATATTTTAGTAAATACTCTACGATTTAATAAATGTGTCGTGGACCCAGAACCAGGGTATATCTAGGAAAAGATAATGCATGTTATTAAATAAGATGCAGTCATCAGCTATTTTAAAATCTTTATTATTTATAAAACCACATTTATTTTTTATTTAGAACACCTAATAGAAGGGTCTTTTTAAATGTAAAATGGCCCAAAATTCATTAAATAAAACTAATTAAAACATTTTTTCTACTCCCACCTTTAAAACGCCCTTTATAGTACATGTTTCCATGACACTAAGTGACCTTTTAAATACACATTGACAATTTGTGGCTTTATGGCGCTTTAGTCACGGGCTGAAGTTAGCAACAGGTTTTTAGTCACGGGCTGAAGTTAGTTTTAAGTTAGTTGACAGTTGTCAAATGTCATACAATCGTTAAAATAAAGTGCCTTTCTTGTAAAATAATACTAAATGTGAAAATTATTTTATTATCTCAATACAAAAATACAAAAGTATTAAATAGTTTCTCAACGCCAATATTTGAAAAGTTTATATGAACGTTGTACTGACCTTTTAATTTCGCCGGCAGTAAACTATAACTTAAATTCGGGCACGGACTCTACTGTAAAGTCCTCATAAAACATTTTCTTTACTTTCACTGTGAAAACTGTTAATTTTCAAAAAATACATTTCGATTTATAACCCTGTGTTTATAAAATACAAAAATTTGACATTTGACGGTGACACACAGATTCCCCTATTGTTTCATAGATGGCGCTCTTTACAAATTTTTGATTTAAATCATTTTAAGATAATAATGAGTATGTTTAAAAAACAAAATTGGCTTTAAATTCTTCTTGTTGTTCATCGTAGATAAAGTATAGTATGTACCTCGTTTATAAACTTTTCTATACACTCATTAATTTAAGCACTCGCTCGCAAGCTCGCTCATGCCTAAATTAAATTCGTGTATAAAATGGCGTTTATCAAACTTAATAACCTTGATATTCCACAAATTTTAATTTAAAATTACATTATTTTTTATTATTAAGTATTTTTTTGAAAAATTTAAAAAAATAATATGTTATAGGCAATATTTAGGTGTAGAAATTCATAACAGTATAAATTAAATCTTATAAAAAAAGATTTCATTTAATCTAAAAAGTCTTTATACTTATAGGTAGATTAACACCTCTGATAAAGTTGTCCTCTTTAAATTCAATTTAAATAACAATACTACAAACTACAAAAGGTCGTTTCTCATCGAAAAAACTGAACTATATTTAAATTGTTAAATTGAAGTTTTCTAGGTCATCTATTTTATAAATAGATTCGTACACAGTGTGTGCAGAGATATTATTATAAATTCGGAATGCCCACCTCCAATTTTCGAAGTCATTGTGTTTTGTAACCTTTTTATGACACAATGTGTTTGCAACAAACAATTATGATCATCATGGTGGTGATGGTTATCGCGTGTCAAAATATACCAGATGAATCGAAAATACTTTGTGATTTTATGTAAAAATATTTTAAAATGGTTTAATTGATCTCTTATAAAATCTACTTTACACTCTAGACAAAAAATCGTAATCGACATAAATTATTTCATGATTCACAATTATGAAATTTAACAAAAAAACTTGTCAATTTTTCAGCGCTGAGTTTTTGTATGTAGGTACTTAAAAGTTTTTTGTAATGCATCTAAATTTAGAAAGAGTTTTGTCTGGATTTTTTTAATAGTATGTAAGGTATGTATCAAGTTTTATAAACGCCATTTTAGTTACGAGTTTTATTAGACACGATCAAAGCTTGCGAGCGAGTTTTTAATAAGAACGAGTGTCTAGAGAAGTTTATAAAACGAGTTGCATACTATACTTTATCTACGACAAACAAAAAGAAGAATTTAAAGCCAATTTTATTTTTTAAACATTTGACATCTGTCAACTGTCAACCTCACTTCAGCCCCTGACTAAAACGTCATAAAGACAGCTTATGGTGGAGTAGATAAACATTTTTATTTAAAAAAAATATTATAAAATTGTAATAAATTTCTATTAATACCTAAATGTTTTGTAATAGTTTCTACACCATGTTTTAATAATTTTTATATACTCCTATTGCATCATATTGTTTTTTCTGCCTATACATATAATGATAAACATTATGAATTCCCTGCATAACAACGGGAATAATGAACTCATTATTCGCGTTGTAAGGTCCATTTTAATATTCACTGTAATTTGGACAATCGGGTATACCCGATATAATATATATTATATATTATATAATATATTAAATTGGAAGAAGGCGACTATAATATTTAAAATCGGTAAAAAGTGAGGTTAACCATTTGTCAGATGTCGGATTTTGTTTATTTTTAAAAATCATCCTTGTATTATTCAATATCCTGCATTATCTCTCGTGTTCTAAAAAATATATCGTGTTGTATTTTTTTAAAAATTTATAATAACGATTTTTTAGTTTTTTGTTTATTTTTTTTTAATTTTGAAAATTTTACTTTAATTTAAAAAATAATTTTTTACTAACATAACAAAAATAGAATTTATTAAATTGTTTAATGATAAAGATAAAGTATGAGGTTTTTAATTATTTGTTTATAAAACATGATTTGAATATTAAACGCAATTATACAGGGTGCCCTGAAAATGACGATATATTAAAAATTATGTTCTAAAATTTGTAATAGGTATTTTTAATAACTAAAATTTAAGTAAATTAATATTTATTTTAAATTATAATTTTTCAAGATCTTCTAACAATTTCAAGATCTTTTAGTTACCTACTTGGTTTTTTGAGATATTCATAATTACAATTTTTTTGTTTTTTATATATTTTTTTCCAACTTTCGATTAATTTTTATATTTTTCAGTTTTTGTTAAAATATTTTAACGTTTTAGTACTTTTAATTAGTGATGCAACGGTTTCGGGTTTTACGGTTACGGTTACGGTTACGGTTAGCTATACGGTTACGAATAAATTCACGGTTATTCAAAAAAAAATTACAGAATTACGAAAAATAAAGTTTTGAAATTAATACACACGTTCAGTAAAGGTTAAATAATAATTTATGTAAAACAAAAACAGAATTTCTAATAAAACTGTAAAACAATAGGAAATTAGTTACATTTTAAACCTAAAAACAGTAAAGTAAAACCTAAGTAGGTACCTGAATAATATATTTAAAAATATAAAAAAATTAAATGTTAATTTAAAATAATTCAAAATTTAAAATTTACGAGTCAAATTTTTATTTAAAAAACATAACATCTGCAAATTCTGCGGAATCAGCCTGTTCCTATTTGGTGTTTGCACAAGACCTGCAGTCGAAAACAACCTCTCCGAATTCACTGACAATGGTTTGTATAATACCTTAGTGCCAACACTCTTAAACGCCGAAACGTGTAACACGTTTTTCAGAATGTAAACGGATTTGACTTAGGTGGTATATTTGGTAACGTTAATTACTCCTCAATCTTTTTTTTACATGCATTCACAAAGTAGCATGAAAAACCGTAAATACGGTTACGGTTAACGACATACGGTTACGGTTAACCGTATAATATCGAAAACCGTGAATTAACCGTAACCGTAACCGTAACCGTTGCAACACTACTTTTAATGATCTTTGTGCAGTTTTTAAAATTATCCTACTTAATACAAATGATTATTTATTTGTTTATAAAATTTTATTTAAATTTTGTTTTATTTAAAATATCTATTGTTTAAAATTTAACAACATTTAATAACATAACATAATTTAATAACATTACAAAAATAAAATTTATTAAATTTTTTAATGATCTTTTATGCAGTTTTTAATTATTTGTTTATAAAACATGATTTGAATTTTAAACGCAATTGTACAGGGTGCCCTGAAAATGACGATATATTAAAAATTAAGTTCTAAAATTTGTAATGTTTTTATAACTAAAATTTAAGTAAATCAATATTTATTTTAAATTATATTTTTTAAGATTTTCGAACATTTCAAAGATCTTTTAGTTACTTAGTTTTTTGAGATATTCATAATCATAATTTTTTTGTTTTTTTCCAATTTTCGATTAATTTTTATATTTTTCAGTTTTTGCTAAAATATTTTAACATTTTAGTACTTTTAATGATCTTTGTGAAGTTTTTAAAATTATTCTACTTAATATAAATGATTATTTATTTGTTTAAAAAATGTTATTTAAAATTTGTTTTATTTAAAAAATCTATTGTTTAAAATTTAACAACATTTAATAACATAACATAATTTAATAACATTAAAAAATAGAGTTTATTAAATTGTTTAATGATATTTTATGCAGTTTTTAATTATTTGTTTATAAAACATGATTTGTATTTTAAACGCAATTATACAGGGTGCCCTGAAAATGACGATATATTAAAAATTATGTTCTAAAATTTGTAATGTTTTTTTATAACTAAAATTAAAGTAAATCAATATTTATTTTAAATTATATTTTTTAAGATTTTTTAACATTTCAAAGATCTTTTAGTTACTTAGTTTTTTGAGATATTCATAATCATAATTTTTTTGTTTTTTTCCAATTTTCGATTAATTTTTATATTTTTCAGTTTTTGTTAAAATATTTTAACATTTTAGTACTTTTAATGATCTTTGTGAAGTTTTTAAAATTATTCTACTTAATACAAATGATTATTTATTTGTTTATAAAATGTTATTTAAATTTTGTTTTATTTAAAAAATCTATTGTTTAAAATTTAACAACATTTAATAACATAACATAATTTAATAACATTAAAAAAGTGGAGTTTATTAAATTCTTTAATGATATTTTATGTAGTTTTTAATTATTTGTTTATAAAACATGATTTGAATTTTAAACGCAATTATACAGGGTGCCCTGAAAATGACGATATATTAAAAATTATGTTCTAAAATTTGTAATGTTTTTATAACTAAAATTAAAGTAAATCAATATTTATTTTAAATTATATTTTTTAAGATTTTTTAACATTTCAAAGATCTTTTAGTTACTTAGTTTTTTGAGATATTCATAATCATAATTTTTTTGTTTTTTTCCAATTTTCGATTAATTTTTATATTTTTCAGTTTTTGTTAAAATATTTTAACATTTTAGTACTTTTAATGATCTTTGTGAAGTTTTTAAAATTATTCTATTAATAGAAATGATTATTTATTTGTTTATAAAATTTTATTTAAATTTTGTTTTGTTTAAAAAATCTATTTTTTTTAATTTACGTTTATTTTTGTTTTGTATTACTTTTACTGTAAAATGCAATTTTAATAAAGCTTGTCAACTAAAATAATGTCTCTCTAAAAATAAATTAGAAGTAAAAACTATTTTGTCAACTACTTGCATGTAACATATTTCGGTTCAACGAAAAGCAAAAATATTTATAAATATGTTAAAAGCTTTATCTCGTAAATTATTTTTATTGTTGGGCCGTTAAGTTAAAAGGATTGTTAATGGCTAAAAATAATTATCATTTAATTATTTTGTCTGCTACTGTACTGTACTAAAAATAAAAAAGAATTTATATAAAAAAATACTTACTTATTCATTCCTCAAAATCTACTAAAATCCACAAAGTGCACAAACACTGGATAAACTTGCAAAATTTTTTTTTTTCCGCCGATATCGCGTGTAAATTTAGTGTCACACGCTCGGGTATTTTGTTCGACCGGCTTTCTGTTCAGCTTACGCGATACTGAGAGTCGAGAACACGCTGCTGCCTGAAAAATCCCCAAAGCTAAGAAGCTGCGACTTGTCGGGATTCATCTTGTTTTGTTCAATATTTACGAGGAAGAAAAAAATTAATGAATACACAGTAAAAAAATATTTGTTAATTGTAACCAGATTTTATGTTAAGTTTACAACCAACTGTAATCTGATAACTAATTGAATAAGTAGTTTGTAATTATAACATTTTGCAGATTTAATAACAAAATCCTATTTTAATAATTCATTCATAATTCTTGTAATTTTCAAAAAGGACCTTATTTTTACAAACCTCTTTGTAGACCCAGTAACCCAGTAACAAAAGTATTTAACTTAAATGAAAAGAATTTTGATAAGAAATGTTGCTTTATTAATCAATTTCCAAACTAAGAAAATTAACACATGCCTACATAAATGAACACAAAACATTCTAAAATCGTCAAATTATAAAAAATTTGGTACAATATAATTCCACTAGTTTACAAAATCGAAAAAAAATTCTGCCCTCCATATCCCATTATAATTTTCCCATGTATTTTGACCCACTTAACACGAAAATAACACTCAATTTATTTTTTACGTTTTTTTTTTCAATTTTCGGAGGTGTTTTTGAGTATAGCTTGAAATCTATTTGATCGATTTGGTCCAACAAGCCCTTAAATTAAAGGTATTTGAGCCCTCTAAAACTTTCTTTTACATACTTTTGATATCGGATAAGAATTTTGACGCTAGCGATTTTAATAACTTAAAAAAATCGTTTTTATGGCAAAAATTGAGGTCGAAAATTTACATATCGTCCTGGAAAGGGTTTAAATCAAACAGATAACTCCAGTTTCAATTTTTTTTCGTGAAGCTGACATTTTTACAAAATAAACAAGCTAATGATAAACATACATGGAAAATATAAGTAAAGTGCATGATTGGAATTTTTTGAGTTTTTTACGTACTTTTTTCAGCGAAAACATTACCTATTCAAAATTTAAATTTGACATGACTCCGCAAACGTGAATTCTTTTGTTTCTCGTTTCAACAAGGTATTTTTATCATGGTTTTATTTAGTTAATAAAAAGTGTAAAATGAGTAAAAGAAGTAGAGAGTTCGAGTGCGTAAATAACCCGGACAATCTGGGTGACGTAAGTGATGAGCACGGAGAACGTTTTCACCAGCAAATGAAGGAAATGGAGCGGCGGTATCACGGCTTCTGGGGTGCAGCCATGATGGTTCCTCATACGAGATACGGAATGCGAAAGCAACAAAAAACAAAGAAGGAGCCAGAATATTTAATATACAATTTAATTTCAATATATAATCAATGATATAATGTTTAAAATAAAAATCAATGCTCAATATTAAATTTTATATAATTCAATAAAAACGTAAAAATTCTCGAAAAACTGAATTTTGCTCCTCCACTGAAAAATTCATAACTTCGCCATTTATCCATGGATTTTTATTAACAGCAGCTTATTTTTTCCTTTAAGTACAATATATACGCAAAATAAATCAAACTGGACTTATCTTTTCGATTTCTATATTTCCCAGAAAGATATGTAAATTTTCGACCTCGATTTTTGTAAAAAAAGGACTTTTTCAACTTCATAAAATCGCCAGTATCAAACTACTGATCCGAATACCAAAACTAAACTAAACTAAAAGAAAGTTGTAGAGGGCTCAATTACCTTTGATTTAAGTGCTTGTTTGGTCAAATCGATCAATTAGAACTCGAAGTATACATACTCTAAAACGTCAAAACACCTCAGAAAATAAAAAAAAAACAATTGAAAATTCATATCTCAATTACCTTTGATTTAAGTGCTTGTTTGGTCAAATCGATCAATTAGAACTCGAAGTATACATACTCTAAAACGTCAAAACACCTCAGAAAATAAAAAAAAAAACAATTGAAAATTCATATCTCAACGCTTCCATGAAAATGTATGTGTGATTTTCGCGTTTAGTAATTTCGAACAACAATGTTTACAATAAAATTAATGGAAATGACTTGGTGAATTCACCATTTATAAGGAAATACAAGTAAAAAGTAGAAAAAAAGTAACCAAATTTTTTATTTTTTTTAAATGTCATTTTTGAAAAAAAATTTGAATGATTGATAAATTTATATTAAGCATAATGCAAATTTTACATTCTAAATAACAAAATTTGCACTATTTTTAAAATTAAATATCTATAATTGGATGTTTACGCAAATAAAATTTATTTTTAAACCTTTTCGGGGAATCCCTGAAAAAATTGCAAATAATCAAAATGTTTGTTTATGCAATTTGATAAAATTAAGTTGACTTTGGAAGAATTATTAAAATTACACTATTTTTTAAAAATTGTAGACAAAAATACACGTTTTCGCCCAGAAGGTACGTATTTTATATTATTGTCACTCGTTTCAGTTTTTCTTGTCTGGGTAACAAAAACAAAAAACAAGGTGTCATTTAAATATTTCCAAACAGGAAAAGCATAGTGGGGTGGTGCACCCAGAGACAAGGGTGCACCGTTTCATAGAACGGCCAGCAAGATCACCCAATCTAATACCTCTCGACTTCTTCCTATAGGGACATCTAAAAACCGGGGTGTTTAAACACAACCTGCTAATTTAGATGGTTTAAGAAATAGAACAACTGTAGAAATTAGGAACATAACACCGAACAATTTCTGTTCTGTTTTGCAAAGTAATTAGGTGTTTACCAAAATTAAATCTATATTTAGGTTCTTGAACCTTAATTTCTTCACCAAAAAATACACAAATAATTAAAAAAATTGTTTGGGCAATTGGATTTGCAATAACTGCAAAATGTAATTTTATTGATCATGATTCATGCGAATTTATTTTCAGAAAAGGATTATTTTTCTCATATTTCTCAAATCGAAAACATATTTTCTTTCGCCTTCAAAAATACATCGTCAAGCTTAGCTTACATTGTTAAAATCTTGTTTTAAAAATTTCAATGTTTTTGTGTTTGCGATAAATGTCAATTAGGCAACATGAAAAATCCAAACAAACCATATATCACATTTGCGAATGCGGTTCTACAAGCGGATTTTGGCAGATGCAGATTTGGGAACGTGACCAAAGGATCAGAGCGGTAATTAGTGTGAATCACACATAGCTGGCTAAATAATCTTGGGGAACGCGAAAACTCTCCTCACAAGTTCTAAAGTGGGTTTTAAATGTCAAAAATGATTTGGTTATGGTTATTGAAAACCATTTTATTTTATTTATTTAGCATTTAAAAATTTTTATATATAACCCGGTATAAAATTTTGTTGAATGCGTTTTTTGCTACATTTTATGCCACAATTCTGACATTACAATAAAAAACTTGAAAATATAACTTTTAATACTCTCTTAAAATGAATTACCGTTATATTTGTCTATAAATATACAGTTCATTTTTTTTATTTGGACTCTAAACTAAAAATATAAAAAACGGTTTTAAAATATGCTTTACTTTAAAGTTCAAAATTTTTGTGGTAGAAATGGTGGAAGTGCCTTTAATTTATAAAAAACCTAATTCTCATAAAATTCATGTGCGGTTTTCAATATCCCAAAAGTACCTAAATTTGGAATTATGTTTGTAATGGTCTATTTAAGGGTGTTTGTTGATATTTATTTCGATTATTCTGAAAATAGGGAGCTTAATTCTTAGTTTTATCTATATAATTAACCATCTGTTAAGTTTAAGGGGACCTTTCATGCATATATCAAGTTGAATCAATTTTATAGAATGGATAAGTCCAATAATATTAATTTCAAGACTATAGTATATTTTAAGTGATACTTAGCGTGGTAGGTTATTATGACTGAATTAAAACCATTAAGTAATCATTTTTATTACATCCCTAACTATCTTCTAAATAATAATTAAAAAACTAGAATCAGTGACAGTGAGAAAATAGTATATTATTTATTATACGAGAGTTAATTATCATTAATGCAGGCTATTATTCACAAGGATGAGGTTTGCATCTAGAGCCGTCAGGCTAGAGACATAAAACATCCGAGTAAATAATGCGCATTATTTCGAAATTGATAAAAAAAAAATTTAACCTCACTTTTCCCGATTTTAAAGATCATTATAGTCGCCCCTCGCATATATAAACAAATCTGACGTCTGTTAACCTTGCTTTTCCCCAATTTAAAACCCGATTTGTTTAAATAACTGAATATTGAAATCAGCCAATCACTGATGCCTAACAACGTGAATAATGAGTTTATATTCCTGTTGTTAGGGCGGGCGGTTATATTGGATACAGTTATTTACGAAAAAACCCAAATAATGTCAATAATATGCAATAGGAGTAGAAAAACACAATTTTACAAACAATTATTTTATTATTAATCTCATGTATTAAACTTTTTTAGTTGGTTGTGGCAAATCGTCCAAATGCAATCTTTCCTTCAATTTGTCGGGAACATCGACATAAATCCTATCGACTCCAATATTTGCAATCAACTGCCTCAGTTTGTCGACTTTAACATAATCCCCCATGCTACTCCAAATGGTCAAGGTTGACCCCTTAACTCCGTGCAGCAACTCCCGCACAACCTCCAAACTTTCAGCTACCAGACCGGCTCTCATAGGGAAAGTAACGGAATGCTTGACATCGTGCTCCTGTATCTTTAGCAGCATGGTATTTGCTTGGTTGCAATCGTAGCAGCCTTCGGAGATGTTGGGCGGGTTGCCTAACACGCCGTAGTTCGTCGTCCAGCCGATAGAGAGGATTACTTTCGAGGGGAAAGTTCTAGCGACTTCCAAAAATTTGTCTGCGTTAACAGGGGTTACTTTGGAGTCCACTGGGCCAGGTAGGATGTCAGCGTTTATCCATAGTGGGTAAGAAGCCTAAAATATATTATATATTTTAATTTTTAAAATTTTAGCAAGGTGGTACTTACGTTTTCATATTTCCTAACAGATTCCATTGAATTTTGATACGCTTCGATGCTTTTAAAATCCAATTTTACACCTTTGCGGACAACATTTTCTATTTCATTAAATTTAGATATTTTTTCCAAAAAATCATCCAAAGATAAATCGGATTCAGTCATTGGTGGATGCCCCATGACAGGTATTATGTCTGTTTGGTTAGTAAGGTGTCCGTAAATGACATCTGCTTCAATCATATCAACTTTATCTTCAAAAAAAAAATATGTTGATTGTACAATAATAAGTGGTTTTTATATTTACTTGACTCTTGTAAAACTGATGCCAAAAGAGCCTGGTTGTTAACAGCATGTACCCAGGTAACGCTGGTCAAGTTTTTTGCTGCCATTGTCATTGTTGAATAAACTATAAATACAGGTAAAAAATAGATTTATGTTTTCAATTTCGATAAGAAAATCAAAACTTGATAAGTTTAAATTTAGCAAACCTCACGTAACAAATTAAATTAAATAAACGAATTTGAAGTTTATAAAAGTATGTATTAAATAAAAATACATTTATTTTAACAAAATAGGAATTAAATTACAAAATAAGATTTTTGCATATATATAGCATTTTATATATAAATTGTAGGAGTTATTTAAGTTTTAAATCCGCCAATGAGAGCCCAGTATTTCTGCATATCGGGCGAGCCCCGTGTTTGTTAGAATGTAGGTGAGCAACCACGATTACAAATTAATAAAATTGCGCTCTCAATGGCAGCTTTAAAAGTTGATGACACCTGCAATTTTGCGAATTCGAAAAAATACGCCTTGGAATCGCAATTTTGGGCATTAATTTTAAATTCAATTTAAACCATCAAATTTATAACGTTAATTATTTTTGTCGGTATGCAACCAACAATACAATCATTATTATTAAACTTGCTTACCTACATTACGTACAGAAGTTGTAAAATCAAAAACAATGCAAAATTTACATAAACACTTGCGATAAATATTGCCAATTTAGTTATTGTTTATAACTTTTTAACAAAAAATATACTACCACCTACTTACCTAAAACAAGTAAATAAAATAAAACACCCATTTTTAAATTTTGGACACTTATTTTTAAAGAAAGATTGTTTTGTCTACCCAGCACAAAATTAACTTCTCAATTGTGATAAAACGATAAATGCCACATTATCAAATTATTCCTTAATTGAATTTTAAATATTCGGAACTCAAAGATAACTAAACGTATTAATAAAACAAACTCTGTAGTATCCGTATAACCCAAATATAATTTTTTAGTAAATACTTACGTTAAAATGTATAAATAAATCAAATAAACCCAACGTTAAAAACTTGTAAGGTTAAGTAGCTAGGAACAACACTTTTCAACACGTCACTCCCGGGTAAAAACTTTGTAGTACAATCTCAGTTGCCTAACTTAATAAATAAAGGGGTGAAGTTGTAAACAAAATAACACACAAATTCGCTTTTCATTCTTTTAATTTTGCGTAATCGTCATACAATTTTATTAAACTGGGAGGCGTCCTAGGTTTAATTAAATCCAAAGCTTTATCAAAATGGCGTTTTTCCACATGTTCAATGTCAAGGCTTTCCTCCAAGGCCATCATGGCGGCTTCATGGCACACTGCGTTTACTTCTGCACCTGAATAGCCTTTGGTTAAACCTACTAGATCCTCAATTGACACACCTACAACCTAAAGAGTATGTTGATAACGTGTTTTGATAATTTATCTTAGTTATCTTACTGGCATTTTAGAAAGTTTGATCCTAAATATTTCTTTTCTAGTATTCTCATCTGGCAAAGACACATAGACAATTCTATCCAGTCTTCCAGGTCTAAGTAGGGCCTTATCGATCCTATCAGGCCTATTAGTGGCAGCTAGCACTGTCACATCCCCTAGAGCTTCGACTCCATCCAACTCGGTCAATAATTGAGCCAGGACTCTTTCTTGCACACTGGTGCTGGAGTTGGCACTCCTCTCCCCTCCAAGCGCGTCGATTTCATCGAAAAATATTATAGATGGCGCCACTTGCCGTGCTTTCCTGAACACTTCTCTTACAGCCCTTTCAGACTCCCCCACCCATTTGCTGAACAACTCTGGACCTTTGATGGAGAGAAAATTTAAACCACTTTCGGTCGCCAAGGCTTTGGCTATCATGGTTTTGGAGCAACCTGGCGGCCCGTACATCAAAACGCCTTTGGGCGGGGTCACCCCCAACCTCAAAAACGAGGCGGCGTGTTTTAGAGGCCATTCTACGGCTTGGCGGAGTATCAGTTTTAGGTTGTCCTGACCGCCGATGTCTTGCCATTTTATATTGGGCACCTGCAAAAAGTATACCGCGAGGTTGTGTATTGGGACTATTTTTATAATATATTAGGGTGATTCAAAAAAACCTTTTTTTTTGTTTTTTTTCTCGGAACCATGCTCAAAAGTTTCGTATAGATATAAAATTTTTATAATAAAAATGATCCTGTGAAAAAATGAGCTCTTAATTTCAAAATTAAGATGCTCCGCATCGCACTTTTCGGTTTTCCATAAGAATAACATAGGAAAAATTATTTGTTTCTTTTTATTTTTGTAACTAACAAACAATAGGTCGTACTGTTAAGTTCTTGACATATTTTTGTAGAGAATTGAACGCTCCACAAAAAAGATTTTTTTATGATTTCTTGAAAAATTTGATCCTTCTAAAGAAATTTAAGGTCAAAGTTCAAATTATACGAAATTTTTGGGTTATTCAAGGTTAAAGTGAAATTAACCGTCAATTTAGTAGTTTTTTCGAAAAAACTTCTGGATTTTTTAGTTCAAAGGGCTAAAAACGAATCGAAATATTGTTTTTGAGCTCTGCAAATTCAAAGAAACAGCCTTCAATTCTGTACAAAAATATTTCAAAAAATCGGGTAGACTCGCCAAAACCCAACCCAAAAATTTTGTATAATTTTAACTTTGACCTTAAATTTCTTTAGAAGGATCAAATTTATCAAAAAATCACAAGAAACCTTTTTTGTAGAGCGTTCAATTCTCTACAAAAATATGTAAAGAACTTTACAGTACGACCTATTGTTCGTTAGTTACAAAAAAAAATATTCACATGTTATTCTTATGGAAAATCGAAAAGTGCGATGCAGAGCATCTTAATTTTTATATCTATACGAGCTATCTAAGCGTGGTTCCGAGAAAAAAAACAAAAAAAGGTTTTTTTGAATCACCCTAATAATATATGGTTGTTACCTCTATTTGAACCTCGCGCATGGCGCTTGGGCGGACTTTTGTTAAGGCATACTTGAAGTCTTCATATTTAAGATTTTCGTCGTTTCTTTTAATGGCGTTTAAGCTGGCTCTAGAGCAAAAAGATACCAAGTCTGCTCCTACAAAACCATGGGTGTTAAGTGATAGATCATACAATTCTTCTTCTGTTAGGTTTACTTGGAAATCCTGTAAGATTTTCTGGAGTATTTCTTTTCTATTTTTTGGATTTGGTGTGGAGATTTCTATTTCCCTGTCGAGCCTCCCAAACCTCCTAAATGAAGGGTCAATATTATCAGGTTTATTTGTGGTAGCAATAACAAAAACCTTTGCATCTTCCTCTTTTAATTTGTCAAACATCATCAATAAAGAAGAGACAATTCTTTTTTCAGTATCAGTAACCCTATTACTTCTTATTGGACATAGAATATCCACCTCATCTAGCACTACAATACTAGGTGAATTATCTATTGCACTCTGAAATAACTCCTTTATAACTTCTTCAATATTCCCTGAATATTTACTGTACAAATCTGGGGCACATATATTAACAATGTTTACTTTAGTATCCTGTGCTATAGCATTCGCTAATACAGTTTTCCCTGTTCCAGAGTTACCATATAATAAAATAGATTTACACTTCAAACCCTTCAATTTTTTGTTAAAGCAAGCATTAATTGTTGATTTTATTTCTGAAATTTCATCTGTAAGACCTGCTATCCTGTCTAGCAAGTTAACTTTCTCAACAGACTTTTTAAATTCTAATTTATCTTTGTATAATTTCCACTTTGTTTTTTCAGTTATCATATAAAAATCATCATTTAAGCTTAAATCACCCATTTCATCGCATATATCGCCGTTACTGGCACCGGAAATATCCTTAATTTCAAACTTAAGTACTTTACCGTAATACATAACACTTATACAGTTTTTTTTTCTTAATATTTTACCAATATGACTCTTACTAATCCTATTATTTAGCTCTTGTGTAATTTCAAGCGATTTTGGACCATTTAAAACCACTATAGTGACTAACGACGCGACTTTATTACACTCTAACTTGGACACAACCAAATTTTTAGCATCATTAAGATTTAAATCGATACCTAACAAAAACAAACTTTAACACACAAAAATAGCATCAACTTAACAAAAACTTACTATTTTTGGTCATAAGAACACTAGTGAGCGTTTTTTCCACAGTGGGCCATACAATTTTAGCCAATGGCGCGACACCATCATCCAACGATTCAACCTTACACCAATCACCGATAGACAAATTTGTGAGCTGTATAGCACCTTGACTCAAGAAAACCAAAAAATCCTTCCCCTTACTATCAACATTCTTTATTTCTTCATTAACTTTAACGTCCAAATGCCCATACAAAACCCCATCCTTGACAAATCCATACTCCGGTTTTTTTAAATTTGGCGGGCAGTCGTTTGCGTGTATTTCGATGTCCTTGTGTATCAAATTCGTCAGGCAATTTTCGCACTGATACCACGGAGATGCACCCTTCTTGTTTTTAACTTGAGACATTTTTTCCACGCAGAAAAAAAACAAACATGCTCGATATAACCTAGAAATACATTGAGGTTATGTGTAAACGTCAGGCGGTTAAGGTGCGTATACACTTTTCGTTTGTGTTAAGTTTGGTTTGTACGTTGGATATTTAATGAAATCAAGGTTTTTGGGAAATTATCTAATAATCTAGAGCAATCTTTTCATTTCCTTTAAGTTAGTTTGGGCGTTTGGTGTTTATATTAATTTTACTTAGTAGTAGATGAAGTCATGTTTGTTAAATTGGCAGTTTTTTTTGCTTTTACAGCAAAGTTTTGCAGCAGAAATTCGAAATATTACCAAAAAGTCGTACTATTTTAAATTAGATCAGCCTAAAAATGAATTTAGGATACACAATAGGGTGCATTTGTTGAATTATAATGTTAGCGACGCGAATTTTAACAGTCCAGAGTATTTGCAAAGGGCTCCAGCTAAGCTACAAAGAGTAAGTAAAAAAATACTTTAATGTTAAAAATAAAAAAAAAATGTTGAAGGTAAATGAGTTTAAAGAGTTATATTTGGATACAGAATGGGACTATAATCACACAACTTATAACAAAAGCGAGTTACCAACCTTTTTGGAAAAATTCTATGAAAAAAGAGCGAAAAAATTATACAACGTTAATAGCACCACTACAAGAATACTTTTTAATGAAAACGCGCAAGAAGATTCAAGTATAATAAAATTCAACTTAAATAGTTTGAAGGAAAATGAAAGCATAAGCGACGCAGAACTATATTTTTACTGGCCATTGGACAATTCTTCCGACATTCATAAAAATTCCGTTGTTTTGAGGCTCTATCAATTTGAAGAGCAGCTAAATCGATACGAGGGAGAAAATGGTTTTCTGGAAAATCCTGATATTCATAAATTATTCAGTGTTATTTATATTTCAAAGGCGCAGAGGGGCTGGCAGGTAAATACACTATAGTACTATAGTACCTTTTTAAATTATTTAGTAAGAACCTAATTTTTATTATACTTATAATTTTTTTTAGAGTTTTAAAGTTAAAAAAGCCTTTAATAATTGGATGAATGGCGAGAAAAACTTGGGTTTGATTCTTACTATAAATACTTATGGTGACAATAAATTAATATCCATTTTTAATGATACAAATGTGGGTAAATTAAGGACTTTTGTGGCTGTTCATGTCTACAATAATGGTAAATACCATGTTTATTGTTGGGTTTTTATACTTTTGCTTCCGCATCCACCGAAATGTACTATTACTTCTGCTATTGTTGTGACCACTTCAATAACGGAAGTTCCGTTGCATTGCCAATATGTACTCGTATATATATATATATATATATACCTATAGGTGGGTACTAAAGTTTATTCAATATTTATTTTTAGAGACAGAAACCATGGAGAAACCACTCCCAGAAGCAGAAATAGCGGAACTGATAAACGTGGACCATAAGTCCATGATCTACCACAAAAACCAGTGCCAACGAAAAAGTTGGTACATAGATTTTGAGCGTTTAAACTGGGACAAGTTTATAATTTATCCGGAAGGATACACCGCATTCGATTGTTTTGGGAAATGTTACGCAACTGATGAAGAAGTTAACAACAATCACATCAAATTGTTGAATTATTTTAAACAGCGAACCTCCTATTGCGTGCCTACATCTTATTTACCATTGCCAATTATGTTTTTCGACGAAAACGGCAACGTGGTACTCAAGAATTACGAGGACATGGTCGCCACGCAATGCGGATGCAGATAAATTATTAAATTTGTAATAAATAAATAAATAACAATTTTGTGCAATTTCTAACAATAAATAAATACAAAAAACTAATAAACCCTATTTCATTTTTTTTATCTGGACTGCGGCAACGTTGCAAATTTAGGGTTTTGGTTGGTAAATAAAATTGTCAAGTTGTTCGTATTGATTAAAACAAACTAAGCTAGTTATAAATATAATTGTGGTTATGTATAAATTATTGTAGGTTACATTGTGCAGTTGTCAAGTTGAGTTGTCGAAATTCGTAGTTAAAAATGCAATTCATTTGGCTTTGGTGGTGCTTGAGTAAAATCATCAAGAGTAGTTAAATATAGGTTGCTTTACGGCCCAGAAGAGAAAGTATTCCTAGCGGATAATAATCTTCGCTTTGAAAAGAATTTATATAAAAGAAAATTTTTTGTGAACGTAAATATTGTCCAATGATGAATAATGTGAAAATAATGTGTGATGTAATATTTATAAAACCAAATTCGTTACTTTTTTCCTCCAAAAATGTCCATAAGGCGATGTACTTTTTCTTCCATTGTGGCATTGGCATCATTTCATCAAAATGAAGTTTTGCCCTCAAAAGGGCTTTTACATTCGAATTCGTTGCTATTATTTTTGGCATAATTATCTTTTTATTTATAATTGACAAGTAAATTATCAATAATAAATATTATTGTCAATTTGACAGTGTCAAAGTATTTAATTAAATTCTTTAGCAGAAGTACCATTTTTAAATACTAAAAATACTAAGTCAAACTGGCATAAGCCACCAACCAAATGAACTGTGTATCTTTCAAAGATAATCTTTGTAACTTTTACGATTATGCTGTGGCTTTTTGGCGCGAAAATTTCGAATTTAGGTTGTCACTCCGATAAACAAAAAGCAGTCGCGGCGTATCTGTCAAATATACCCGATTATATGTCGACAGAAAGCCGCATAAAAAAGTCATGAGAATGGGTGACAATAACGAAGGCGGTCTGGGTACCTCGAAGGACGAGCCCCAAATGAACCAGGACGAGATGATTTTGGCGCAGCAGCGTCAAATCGAGAAGGAAGTGTGTGATTGGAAAGTTAGGTTATGTTGTTGTTCTACTTGGGTGTTTTTTTACAGATATCCGACTCGATTCCGCTGGTGGGAAGCTTGGAGCCGTTGGAGTCGTTGAACAAAGAGTATCTCACTGACACGGTGTACTTGGAAAAAGTTAAGGATCTGGCTAAAAAGTACAAGTTTATGAGAAGGACGAGACCCGATGGGAACTGCTTTTTCAGGGCGTTCAGTTACGCGAACGTTGAGATACTTACCGGCAAGAAGGAGGAGTTCGAGGAGTTTTATAAGCTCGCTGAAAATAGTAAAAATGCTTTAGTTGAGTTAGGATTTCAGCAGTTTACTGTGGAAGACTTTTATGACACTGTAAGTGGCAATATCTTTCGTCTTGATTGATTCTATGGTGGTTATTTTTAGTATATGGAAGTTTTGAAGCGTATTAAGACTGCCCCCACAGTAGAAGAGTCAAAAAATGAACTGCATACCTTATTTAACGAACAAGGTTTCTCTGATTACATGGTTGTTTATTTAAGGCTGCTTACTAGTGGACAGTTGCAAAAAGAGGAAGATTTTTACAGCTGTTTTATTGAAGGCCACAGAACTGTAAGTAACAATTACTATATTATCGTTTTTGATAAGAAAATGTATTAATAGTAGATATTTTATTCTACTTTGTTGTTTTGTTACTATTGCTAAATACTTTTGAGAAAACTTTGGGTTTAAATATTTATGCAAGGATAGTAGAATATTACTTTTTTAGTGAAACTAAAAAACTAAATTTTAGGTTGCTGATTTTTGCCACCAAGAGGTGGAACCCATGTACAAAGAGAGCGACCACATCCACATAATCGCCGCGTGCGCAGCCCTGAACACGGGAGTCCGGGTGGTTTACATGGACCGCGGTACCGGAAAATCCTGCACCGAACACGACTTACCCGAAGGCTGCACCCCGACTGTGCACTTGTTGTACCGTCCAGGACACTACGACATTTTGTATCCATAACGTATTAGTGGATTTTTGTAAAAATGTTTTTTCAATAAAGTTTAAGCTCCATTCAACGATATCGTTCAAAATTATCAAAGACTTTTAATTCCATTGTGCAAAGTTATACTTAAATTTTGGAGGTATATATAATACTTTTTTTTTATTATTATAAGATTGTAACTAAATTACAAAATAAAGAAATCTGTAATTTTTTTGTTTACCAATTCATATTCTTTTATATAGAGGGATTTTCATTATTTTCATCATAATGGATTACAAAATTGAACTTTGTACCCACACAATTATTTAATTACCACATGTCACACCTTAAAAAAATATTTACAGAACAGGATTAGGGAATAATCTAAAATGTTTTGACAAATATTTTATTAAACCAACTATATGTATTTTTTTTTAATATTTTATTAAACCAACCATAGGTATTTTTTTTTAATCTAATTTTTATGATTTAAAAAATATTTTTTTAACAGTAATATTAAAAATAATACATGGAATACAACACAGTGAAAGATCCTTTTTTTGTAGAAAATCAAAATTTCACCCCATATAATTTTAAAAGTGTGTCTTTTTAAAAAATAATATGATATACGAGGTGTGTTCAGAAAATATCGGGAATTTTCGTTTTTTGAAACAAATATTTATTTATTCGTCTACATTAATGTTGTCGCCTTCAAAATAGTCCCCATTGGATAATATGCACATGTGCCAGCTCTTCTTCCAATACTCGAAACACTTCTAAAACTCGATCTTTGGGATAGCCTTTAGTTCTTTCAGCGATGCGCTTTTAATGTCATCTATGCTTGCAAAACGACGGCCCTTTAAGGTTCTCTTTATTTTTGGGAATAGGAAAAAGTCAGACAAAGGCATGTCTGGCGAATATGGAGGCTGGGGCATCATTACAGTACTGTTTTTGGCCAAAAATTTTGTTCAAAATTTAACAAAATTAGGACACATTTTGCTGCCACGCGTTTCATACCCAAAACATTCGAAAAATTTTTATGGGATGAGCCAATCGATATACCAACATCATCAGCGACTTCTCTGATGGTTTATAACCATTTCTTCCACTTTTTCCATGTTTTTATCGGTTGTTAATGTGCTTGTGCGTTCGGGGCGTTCGTCATCTTCAACGTCATCACGGCCATCTTGGAAACTCTTATACCACTTGTAAACTCTTGTTTTACTTATAGCAGACTCAATATAGGCCTTTGTTAACATTTCACAGAATTTATTTCATTTTTTAAGCAAAATTGGATACAAATTCTTTGATCCATTTCTTTTAACGAACGAAAAATCGCCGAGCTCATAAAACACGTCTAACCTTAGCGGCTGCCACAGACAAAGTAAACAATGAAAACAGCTAAAGTTTTTATCATACTTCAGGGGCATGTATACCAAAATAATAAAGAAAATTTTATGACAACCGGACCCTCCGAACCCGAAAAATTTAACAATTCCCGTTATTTTCTGAACACACCTCATATATATACCTATATATATTTTATTATTTTTTCGCTTATCCAGTGGCATAACTATTCAGTTTTTTTTATACAATTTATTTTTATTTTACCCATGCCGCACGCCTAGTTACGCCCCTGTGCACATCCTTTTAAAATAAAGATACCTATGTCGCATATAAATCGTAAAAATATAAGACCAGATGGTCCAAGCTTAAAAAATCCAAACTAAATCTAAAAATAAAACTGTGTGTAAAAGTTCCAAGCCAGCTCAGTACGGCCCTGCAAAATGAAAAACTATCTAAAACCGATAGCAAACCTTATCTATCATTACAATTATGTAGAAATAATGTATAGTATTTAGAAAATGCACAAGTTCACAAATTTTTAACGGGTGTTTAATATTAGGAACCAGTTTCTCTAATTTTTGTAAAGTTGTTCATAAGGTTATAAGCAGTCTACACGAGACGTTGGTCGTACGCGTGCGAAAATTGTAGGCGCGTTCAACGCACGGCAAAATAAATAAAACTAAAGTGTTGTTTATTTTTTGCATTATCGTTAGCTAGTGAGACACAGTCTAGTGCGATGGCCAGCTTAAGCAGACGTATTTTGACCCGATGCAAACATTTGAAATTCGCTAGATTTTCCAGTACCAGTGCCAACATCATTACTTCGGACTTCAAGGATGTGGAGATACCCAAAAAAACCATACACCAATTTTTTTACGACGAAATAACCAATTATACCAATTTTACCGCTGTGGTAAGTACATTTATGATTTATTTACTTCTTGAACCAAATTTAAGGGACTTTTATTTTTTTTAATAACAATACATTTAGGTATACCTACATAATTTTCCAGTTACTACGTAAGTAGATCTGTTTACTTGAACTAGAAAATTTTAACTACATACCTAATTTACATTTATAAGTATTATAACTTTAATTGCTTATTTTTCGTAAATACAAAAGTAACATTTAGCTCAACGACCCACTTATATTGGGGACAAAATAAAAAAGTCAAAGAGAAAACACGAAATCTTGAATGAAAACTTATGAAATGTTATTGTAAAAACCGTTATTTTACCACATAAGACTTTTGTTTTCAAAATTGTATGTTGGTAATATACTCTGTCTTAAAAAATATGTGGAAGCTTTAAAATGCAGAATCATTGTTAATGACGTGCCAATAACAATAACAAAAAGCAAGTAAATTTAAATAGCCGTAGGCAAATAGGTATTTTTTTTAATGAATAATTAATAAAAAATTACCTTACAAAATTTAATGAGCTAAATTTTATTAATTTCTGATAAAGTTTAATACACACTTTATGTTAATTTATCGTAAATAGTGGGTTCAAGGTTATTTTCAAAAATAATTTGTTTAGTTTTTAAAAGTTTTTTGAACTTAAGTCCTATTTAAGAATACCTACCCAGTATTATTTATAATTAATAATACTCAATAATAATACTCATTACTATTTTAAAGAATAGTATCTCGTTTCCACTATAAACAACAAACTATTTTTGTACTTAAATACATATTTATTAAGTATTTATCTTAAGTGTTTACGGATTTATTAAAAAAATAATAAAACGAAATTTTATTATTCAAATACATATAGGTATTTACGAAATAATTCCCGATATTACAAAGTTCACAAAAACATGCTAAAAAGAGCATTGTTAACGTTTTATCTATAGATAAGAAATAATTAAAAACAACATTTAATTAAGCAACAACAAAATTGCTAGTTTATTAAAAAAAAGCAAATAGTAATTACTATTTGCTTTTTTTAATACTTTTGAAAGTATTTAAAAGTATTTCAAAATTTTGATAAACAAATTTAGTTACATCATTCTTGTAATCAATAAAACAAATTTTATCCCAAAAGTTTCTTTGTTATGAGATTTTGTAAAAAATTTAAAAAAAAAATAATATATTGTTTTTTATATCCAAAGAAGAAATACAAAAAAATAATTTGCCATACTTACAAAAAATTAAAATTAATTTTTATTAATAAAAGCGTAAACAACAATTTTCTTAAGACGTTTCAAAAAGTTAAAATTTGTTGATAATATGTTATTATTATTAATAGCGATTTTAAGTATTTATTGCATTTTGCTAAATCCGTTTTTGACAAAATTTTTGACCCAAACGGCTTTGAAAAATTTTAATTTATTATAAGTTTCACATTTTTCGTTTTTTTTTTGTAATAATCTGACTAAAAATCGAACAAATGGCAATTTAATTCGATTTCCTCTGTCACTTGACGTTTTTAAAAACTCTAGGCGATCCTTCAAACCCTCCCTCCCCCTCTAGCGTCACGAGACTTATGGACGGCCCCTTACCAGTACTAATTTATTTGTATTTAAATACCTTCACTTAATAGTGAAAAAAACTTAGTTCACATAAAAAATTAACATTAACTAAAAAAGAGAATTAAAATTATATATATATATATATATATATATATATATATATATATATATATATATATATATATGTATGTATATTTAAATTTTAAATATGGACTTTCAATGGTCAATGTGCAAAAGTCTATATTCATTACGTATTAAATTGGTTCTATTAAATTTAATTTATTTAATGATTTTATCTAATTTTTTTAATAATTTAAATCGATCTTTAAAATCAAAATTCTATGGATTCCAAAAATTTAAGAAGAACCCAAAAACACCATAAGAGGGCATCAAAATTCTTATGGATTCTAAAATGTTAAGAAGAACCTAAAAATCTTAATTAATTTCATGAAGCAATTTTGGAGATTTTTTGACCCACCCCTCCCCTTGGTGAGATGTCGTGAGATTTTGATCGACCCCCTCCCCCTCCCTTAATCTCACGTGAGGTTTTTTAAAATGCATAGTTTTAATGTAAATTAGTTAATCTGGGCTTGATTCCATTAGATTTATTAAAAAAAAACAATTTGCTTGTAATTTTCTTTATTTTTAAGACTAGTATTTAAGATTTCTAATATTATTAGTTAAAGGTGATATATTTTCATTAAATTTTAGTGGTGAAACTTTTTTTACTTAATTTAAACCAGTTTTCTCGCAATTTTAAACTGTTTCTATCGGGAAAAAAAATTACGTGATATTTGCCCCCCTAAACACATCACGTAATTAATGGATGCCCCCTAACTAGGGTTGGGACAGTTGAAATTTTCAAATGAAAATTTCAACTTTGAAAGTTTCAAACTTGAAATATTTCATTTAGTTGGAAAAGTGAAATTTTTAAAAATTTCAAATAAAATTTTCAATCAAAAAAATTCAACATTGCCTGTGAAAGTTTCAGAAATTTCATTGAAAGTTTCGCAATTTACTGAAAATTTCGCATAAATTTCACATGCGGCCTTCCCTGGGACCTTTAATAATAATTTACAACAGATTCCGAATCGACCAATAAGAACGAGTTATCAAGCGTCTGGGCGTTTTTGTTTAGTTCGGCTTGGATTTGAATACATTATAAGTAATTATTGTTACTTATATGCATAAATTAATTTAAATAATTTAATTTAGTTACCAATTTAATTTAAAAAAAATTTAAAATTCATTTTTGCTATAATTGCATCGGAAAACGTATAAAAAATGCCTTTGGCTTATAAAATTTTGTGAAGTTTCTTCAATTTTTGTAAAATTTCAGTAAAATATTTAAAAATAATAAATATATATATAAATATAAAACAATGAAAGTGGCACAATCTCATTAGCTTACCAAAAAGTGCTATATCTCTTTAAGTTTTAGAAATTTTAAAAATATTTTAAAAGGAAATCTCAAGAAATTTGTGGTAAACATACTGCCGTGCTTAATGAAAACGCCGTAACCAACAATTTTGAGACTTTTGTTTTACTGCATTTTCTACTAGAACAATTCATCCTGCGTCTATCCCCGGTACTCAAAAAACCGTATATATATATAGATACGGTTTTTTGAGTACCAGGGATAGACGCAGGATGAATTGTTCTAGTAGAAAATGCCGTAAAACAAAAATCTCAAAATTGTTGGTTACGGCGTTTTCATTAAGCACGGCAGCATAGGTATTTACTATTTATATTATTGGTGCAGGGGCCCACAGAGGGGTAGGAGCCTCCTACCCCTCTGTGGGTAGGAGGTAAGAGAGGCAATTTGCCATGGTTCCCAAGTGGGCTTATTTCAATATTAATATATTACACTTAAAGTGATTGAAATTTATTGAAAGTTTCATAAAATGTCATAAATTTCAATTAATTTCAATAAATTCCTTAAATTTCATGAAATTTCAGAAATTTATGAAATTTTAATAAATTTCATAAATGTCATGAAAATTTCAAGTGAAATTTCAAGTGCAAGCAAAAAGTGAAATTTTCCCAACCCTTCCCCTAACAATATCAAAAATTTTGTACAAACAAAACTAACATTGTTTTAGGAATGCGCGGTGACAGGAAGGAAATACACCTACGGCCAAATCAGGCAAAAATGTCGAAACCTAAGCAAAAACGTTCGAAAAAAACTGAAGCTGAAACAAAATGACGTGGTGGCGATTCTCTTGCCAAATATTCCTGAATACCCTATTGCTGTTTTGGGGCTGATGGAAAGTGGCATTTTAGTGACGTCGTTAAATCCAATCTATACATCAGGTAATACAATTTTTAAAGGTGTAATTTTTTTTTATATTTTTTTTGCAGAGGAAATTGCAAGGCAGATGAAGGACGCTAATGTAAAAGCTGTGATTACAACAATTGAAAGTGTACAAATAGTAAAAGCTGCAAATGCTTTAAATAAAATTAATTTACCTGTGATTGCAGTACAAACTCAGGTAAGTAACGAAAAATGTGAAAAATATAAAAAAATTATTTTTTAATCCTCGTTATAAACAAATTACAAATTATTAAAAAAATACGTGGTTTTTTATTTTAAACATCTTGAGATTACTAAGATAAATTCCGTGACAAAACATCATAAATAAACTTTGACCAAGTTACTAAACTTTTAAAAATACTAATTTGTTTTTATACAAAATGATATGTTTTGTATTTTATAAGCATTAATCAATGAGGTACTTCTTATCAAAATAATCATAATCTTAAAATTAAATTTAAAAATGTATAGGTTCGAGTTGAACTTGATATCAACAATAATCTAGGCTGTACAAATTATTTCCTCATAGTCAGTAAAAATCCCGTTTGGACAAATAAAAAAAATCGACCACTGTCAGAGCTCTAAAAGCTCAATTTCTACTTTTATTAATTATAATTATTAGCTCAACACAAAAAGACTTAGTTCTCAACCTAATGACGAAAATAACTATTTTTAATATTTACGCAAAGTTTGTTATGTAGGTACAATTAACGTTTTGTACTTTGTTCTGCTTTTGAAGGCCGCATATATATGCAGTTAGGTAAACTAAAAACATTTATGTGAATTTTTCACTTAAATTACCTAACTGGATTTACGGTTCCCGGTCACTTCCCCGAATGCAATTTCCCGACTGACCAATTTCCCGATAGACCATTTTCCCGACAAACCATTTTCCCGACGACGTTTTTCCCGACAGCACTCTTCCCGACAGACTATGTTCACGACAAAAATCTTATTATCCAGTTAAGAAACGTTTTTTCCGATAGCCCTTTTCCCGAAAGATTATGTTCACGACAAAAGTTTTATTATCTAGTAAAGAAAAACATACCTGGTCAAAAATGTTGGGTTTGGGTTGGTTTCGAAGCGGGCGGACTCGGGACGTTGGTTAAGGAAAAAAGATCTGCTTCCCGTCCTAAGATTGCGTCATTGGATGACGTCACTCTATTAAAATATATTGTGTCGTTTGTGGTAAAAATTATTTGTCTTAAAAATGACTTGTCGGGAAAATGGCTTGTCAGGAAAATGGCTTGTCGGGAAAACGACTTTCGGGAAAATGACTTTCGGGAAAATGGTGTCGGGAAAAATCTTGTCGGGAAAATGGTGTGTCGGGAAAATGGTCAGTCGGGAAATTGGTCTGTCGGGAAAATGACTTTCGGAAAAGTGACCGGGAATCGGATTTACAGGGTGCTTCACATTTGTGGTCCATTGGAAGTTTCTGTGGAACGGAAAAAGATATCGATTTGAAATTTAAAATCTCTTTTTCAAAAAGTTTTGAATAAATCTTTTTATATTTTTTATTATTTCCAATGATCTAGCGCTTCATCTAGTTGTCATCCTACAGCTTTGATTTTTTTCAAAATTAGCAAATACTGTTTGTATTACTTTTAAATATTAAAAATGTTTGGCTTGCCCATACATGTATAGTGTTTTGTTAACCTAAGGGCTTGCCTATTTTTTTATAAGTCACCGACTGCTATTTTTTATCGGTAATTTTGTTTTGTTGTGTGTACAATAAACTTAGTTTGTCAACAAATTGTTTATAACCACCTGAAAAATTGACGCAATTAAATTTTGAACAATGACAGATTACGTGGTAACCATGTATTTAACGGTATACCGTAAAATCACAGTTTTCTTGATACAAAATAATATTTAAAATTTTAGAAATTGTTAAATATCTTTTAAATTATTAACTTTTAGTATGGGGAATAGTTACTTCAATCAAAAGGTTTTTTAATTTACTGTTTGATTATATAAAAACATAAGTACCAAATGTTACATAAAAAAAATTGTCCTGGGTTTTTTTAGGTAATTTGTTGAAAAATGTTAAATAAAGAATTGACATGAAATATTTTAAACAATGTTTAAAAATTCCACCCCCATATTCCCAAACCTAAGAACAAAAAATATATAGGCTATTTTTGAATAACGCATTTCCCAAATTTAAACAAAAAAAATTAATAACACAAAAACCATTTTTAGGTGTAGGAAATGGTATAGTAATTTTACTCAGAATTTTATTTAGAATTTAAAAATGTAAAATTATAAGGGGTGTTAGCGGAAGCATATATATATAATACATACTATAGTACATATGTATATAGTATAACATATAAAAATTTTAGCCGGTTCAAAAGGGGTCAGGTTTAAAAGTGGTGGATTTGGCCCCATATAAATAAAAATATAATAAATTAAAAAAATATAAAATATTAAAGCAATAAACTAATTTAAAACTTTTAAGACTAAATAAAATCGACATTTTTCTTTTATTTTAGTCGGGTCAAACATGTCCCCCGGAAACAATAAAATTCGACGAGATGGTAGATGTGGAGGTGGACATGCCCGATATCGTTATTGACAATGTTCACGATACGGCATTTTTGCCTTATTCGAGTGGCACCACTGGCTTGCCCAAAGGCGTGGATCTGTCACATTACAACATTGTCGGTAATATTAAACAAACCACCTCGAAGGAGATGAAGTTCTTAACACACGCAACAGGTAATTTTTCTTTTGTTTTGCAATTTTCAGTGAATTAGTTCCGAACCTTTGGTTTATTATTTGTTAGGTCGCAAACGCACAAACTTGTGTACGGGGTTGCATACCTGTTAGCGCACAGGTCGAGCGGCGACATCTGCCATAATAACACATTCTTTTAACCGGCAGTGGCGGCTGGTGGATTTTGGGTATACCAATATTTCAGTTATTAGACATGGGACCCACACCAAATTTATAATAGTTTATAATAATAATATTAATAATCTAATAATAATCTTTATTTAATCAATATAAATTTTATGGGTATACAATCTTAACTTAAAAACTAAAGTAGAACTTAAAAATTAAATAAAAAGAAAGTAATCCCCATGGGGATTACTAAGCAGGAAAATTGCTTATTGTTGTGCTAATAATAACAAATTAATAAAGTATATTCTTTATAAAAACATAATTATTTTATATTTATAATGCACATATATTATAGTATAGGTAAAACATAATTCTTAAAATATAATAATAATAATAATAACCTATAACCACCTATACTATAAATATATTATATAACCAGACTTTAATTTTTTTAATTTGTTATGTATTTAGTACTTGTTAAAGAGATAGGCAAAAAAATGTACAGTCTGGGAGCTAAATAAGCATGAGATTTTGTTCCAATAGTTTTTGTTGCTTTTTTTGTTGTAATATTTATGCTGCCCTTTGTATTATATGCATGAGTTTTGGTATATTTTTCGTTTTTAAATTTCCACTTTATTAATTGTTGGGCATATATTTGTCTAACATTTAATATGTTTTTTTCTTGCAAAAGTTGGTTACCCGAGTAGTACAAATCTTTTTTAAACATTATTTTTACAATTCTTTTATGTACCCTTTCCAGATTATTCAAATGCGTTTTAAGTATGCCTCCCCAGGCTAGTATCCCTTATCTCAGTACCGAGTTTACAAGTCCATAGTAAGCAATCTTTATTTGTTTTTCATTTAAAATATTATTTAATTGCTTACATGAATAGAACATTTAAAATGAGCATCTAGGTGTACTCCTAAATATTTTATTTCGTTTACTTGTTCTATTTCCAAATTATTTTCGGTTTTTATGGACTTGTATGTGGGCAAGGACCTAAGATATGAGCCAAAAGGGACATACTTAGTTTTCTTAACATTCACAAATTTAAAATTTTATTTAAAAAATTCAATTAGTTAATCGGCTATCTATTTACTGTTAGAAAGATACAGCCTTAAGTCGGTTTCATATAGATGCGAAATGCGAATTGCGAAATACGAATATTCGCATTTTGCAACTATTTCTTATATTTTCCATGCTATTTTAGGTACTAAAATAGTAAAGTTAAATAAAGTGACTATGAAGGTAAAATAAGAAACATTAATGTACCTCAAAAAACTCTTCGTTCATTATAATAAACAAAAAAAAACTTCAAACACTTATTTAAACAGTTCGAATATAACTTAACAAAACAAACGCTACGATTCAAACGAAATAAACAACGAAATAAATGGCGTAGGTATGATAAGCAATTGCATTCATGTGCATGCAAAACGCATGCGCATCACGCCAAATTATAGTGCGATTTTCGCTAAATATTATATAATCTCAACATTCAAATCTTGCAAATTCCCAGGATCTGTCGAAACGCTTTTCCCGCCAAATCAAATGGACCAATGGGAGCATTTTTAGCAAATCGCATTTCGCATCTATATAAAAAGGGCTTTAGGACAGACAGACAGACACAATCTGTCTGCAAGAACAGTCCTTGACAAAATCAATTTTATATTATTTATTTTCCTTAAGTAATCCCACAAATTCTAAACATTTTTTAGAATCCTATCAAGACTGCATGCCCGCCGTGTTGCCGTTTTTCCACATCTACGGTTTCACAATAACACTACTACAAGGTCTGGTGCACGGAGCAAAATTGGTAACGTTGCCTAAGTTCACTCCTGAACTATACACTGACGTTTTAAAAAAGAACAAAATTACCCTGATCATTGCAGCGCCACCTTTAGGTACGATTTTCTCACATCACATTACACTTTTTTTTATTAATTTTGTATTTTCTAGTTTTGTTTTTGTCGGCTCATCCCTTGGTTAAGAAGGAGTACATGGCCAACTTGAAAGCGGTAATGAGTGGAGCAGCACCTCTAGGCGCTTCTGACGAAGAAAGATTTTTGGAGAAAGTTGGGGGAAACGTTGAAATTTCCCAAGGTAAAATTATTTATTTTTTTTTGGTTGAGGAGGCTTCAACCACTCTTCAAATTTTAGGCTACGGTCTGACCGAAACATCTCCAGTGGTGTCCATGATCAGCCAACAGCTGAAGGACAAATTCAACTGCACAGGCTCGATCGGAGGGCCGATCCCCAACACCCAGATGAAGTTGGTCGCGATCGATGACGCTACGGGGACGCCCCTGGGCCCCAACCAGCAGGGAGAACTTTTCGTTAAAGGCCCGCAAGTCATGAAGGGTTACTTCAACAAGCCCAAGGAGACCGAGGAGGTTTTCCAAGACGGTTGGTTCAAGACCGGCGATCTGATGTACTATAACGAGGACAATTTGTTCTTCGTTACCGATAGGTTGAAGGAGTTGATCAAAGTAAAAGGTAAGTGGGAGAATTAGGTATACAACAGTGGCGGATTGTGGATTTTGGGTATACCGATATCTCAGTCAGTAGACATGGGACCTAAACCAAACTTATATGAGTTTATATTGACATTAAATAGACAAGTTCTGCGCAAGCAGAATTTAAATTGAAGATCACTTTATTTAATAAATCAGGAACTATTTGTCGAATTTGGTGTTCAATATTTAATTTGAATGCTTCAATTGTTGCTGGTTTATTAGCATAAACCAATGACTTTAAATAACCACACAAGAAGAAGTCTAAAGGTGTTAAGTCACAGCTTCTTGAAGGCCATTCAAAATTCGAATTTCTTGAAATAATTGATTCTTCGAACTTTTCTCGTAATAAAATATTGTGGCACGGGATGTATGGCACGTAGCGCCGTCTTGTTGAAAGAAAATGTTCGTTAAATGGATATTTTCTAATTCAGGCCAAAATTCTGTATCGCTCACCAGTATCGGCAACTAGGTACTTGTTCATTTTCAAAAAAACAACGTCCGATGACGCCACTGTGCCACAAACCACACCAACGGTCACTTTTGAAGAATGTAAAGGTTCCTCGTGAATAATTTGTGGATTGGCATCAGACCAGTAGCGACAATTTTGTTTATTCACGGATCCAGAAAGATAAAAATGAGCTTCATCGGAGAAGATGATTTTCTTTGCAGAACAGTCCCAACTGTTAAGAACGTTTTGGATTTGATATATTAGAGTCATCAACACTTGCCCGAACGGCAGCAACATTCTCTTCACTTCGACCGGATGCTTGTCTTACTGGCACGAGAACATTTTGTAAAGAAAGATTGCGTTCAAAATTTTCCACAGTTCGACGAATAGCGAGCACACTAGACAGATTATGACGACCATAATTTGGAAGAAGTGCACAATAATATAACTGACAGTGATAGAAGATTTTGACATTTAAAATACGACCCCATTTTTGTATCCTTAATGGAAAACAGCCATTTGATTAGCTAGAATTCAATAAAGAAATGTTTTATTTTACTAATTAGCAACACTTTAAAAATTAGCGACATTTCACTCGTTAGCAACACAACTATACACACAAATCTGACATTTAACGAAAAAAAATATTCAGTTTTTATGTTCATAAATATAACTGTACAATTAGATATATTTTTTAATGAAATTCCATTTGTACTTTGGAAAATTCCGTGATAGTGAACTTGATGAGGATAAGTGCTGCCAAGAGTCATCCTTTCAAGCTTCCTGTTGATTGGAGCCTCTAAAAATTTTCTTCGACGTTTGAATGCTTTCTCCTATATAACTTTCAGCAAAAGATGTTAAAGACCATCCCTCCAGTCTTTTCAAATCAGGTATACTCTGCCCTATTATGGAGAAATGCAGTAACTACCAAAAATATCAAAATGCGTTTTCTTGTGCTATGATAAAGCTATGGACATTTTGTATCATAATTCAACACAGAAATGTAGTAAATAAGTAATATAGTAATAAGTTAAATAAATCCATCCACCTACTGCTTTTTATAAAAATGTAGTTTATGCTAATTTCCCACAAATTTCTTGTTTAGCAGTTACTGCCTTTCTCCATAGTAGGGCAGTAACTGCCCCCATTATAAACCAACATGGTAGCTGCACTCCTTCGCATAGAATGCCCTGTAGAGCTATTGGAATCAGGAATATTCAAATATTCAGCAATTTTTCTCGGCAAACTATAAAATGTGTTGATCCCCACCGGTTGCACAGTGCAATTACCATTCCGGTAACAAACGAAAAATCTGGATTGTGGCTTTAATTTACGATACAACTCAATTCCGTTCGCTTCCGAAGTTATGGTAAAAACTCGCTTCTTTTCCGTTTTTGTATTACGTAGTGTTACGATAATAACTGATTCATTCTCTTCTATTTCGTTAATTGTTGGTGTTCGTAATTCTTCCCCTCGCATTGCTCCTTTTAAAGCAAAAATTGGGTCCAGAACACTATAGCACACTCTGAATTTCCAAAAAAAAAATTTACCATTTGAAAAAGGACGTTTTAAATAGTAAATTTCATAAATAAAAATTGCGGGTTTTTCACTAGTTTTTGAGAAAATTAAGTTTGAAAATGCTTTTTTTGACAGATTTTTTGACAAGAACTGTCAAGAAATGTCAGATTCAAAGAAATTCATCGCAATGTTGCCAGATATAAAATTTTTACGCTGTTTGGGGAAATTTATTATGCAACCCAGATTACATGAAATTATTCCTAATTACATACATACATACATTTTATACCTTTTATTTTTTAGAGAACTTTAATACATGAAATATTTTTTTGTTTCGTCCACGACTGTACATTATTAAAAAAATTATCTCGTTTTATAAAATATTTCTTGCATTTCTTTTATTTAATGTATATAGGCTATAGCCTTATATAAAACATTTTTTTTGACAATTTTGATGCCAAAATAATATATAATAAATTACCTTCAATTTTTTTATAAAAGTTTTGTGATTTGTTCCGTCCGCGTGATTGAAATGGCCGTTTTAATTCTATATATGATATATATATATATATATATATTTATATACAGTGTGTCCACCCCAGGTAGCACAACGTAACGAAATCTTGACGTAAACGAGACGTTTTCAGTCAGTCGTGACTTGGACGTTATTTAAAAATCGTAACGTATTTAATTAAAAACAGTTGCCAAACCGCGCTAAATTTAAGCATAGTTTTTGTGACGAATACGTTACATTAATATGAATAAAAATCTTCACGATGTAGTTAAGAATACGCCACGGATTCTTCACGATGATTTGTCACGGTTTCGTCACGACGCTTCGTTACCGAATAGTGAACTGAACTGGTCACGTAATTGTGGCGTATAGTTGCATTATTTGGGGGTGTAATAATATTGTGTAGTGTAATGCAGTGCAGTACGGTATAGTGGGTTGTTTTGTGTATTGTGGAATTATTGCTTACCTTCAAAGTTTTGTAATTTGATTTTAACCTCATCATCAGGTTGAAATCAAATTACAAAACTTTGAAGGTAAGCAATAATTCCACAATACACAGAACAACCCACTATACTGTACTGCACTGCATTACACTACACAATATTATTACACCCCCAAATAATAACATATTGTTAGGATTGTTTAGTTTTGCAATGTTAATGCAAAGAAAGCACATTTAACTGAATTATATTTTATTAGAAAAACAATAAAAACATATTCTACAATAAACTATAATATATATTATATAGAAAAACACTAACAAAATAAAAAAATATTACTCTTATACAATAAAAATACCTCCACTTTTGAAAACCAGCAATAATTGCAATTAGTTTTCAAATTTCATATCTTTGAAAAAAAAATTAAATTATTTTTCTATTTTAAGGATAAAACAGTACACAAAAATATAATTCTCCTGTAGAATAAAACACTATTTTATTAGAATATACCTAATATAAAAAACAGTAAAACAAAATAAACAAGTATTTTTCTTATAAATTTAAAAATGAAATGAATGAAGTCAATTAATAATTCATGTAGTATAAAATTTTTATTTTATTTCTGCAGTTTCTTTAACTGCAACATTTATTTATAATAAACTTAAATAACACTAGGGTTCAGCTGAAGTACAAACCTGTGATTTCATCTTATCATATGTATGCTTAATGTGCATAATGTGCTTTTCAACGTCATCCTTTGTAATATTTCTTTCCCCCGAGACAACCCAAGACAATTGTGTTTGCCATCAATATGTCTTTTAGTCTAAAGTTTTCGTTCGCCCCTATCCAGATGTGTGGAGTGTGTCCAGAGTGTCGACTGTAAAACAGTGTATGTTATGTTGGTTACCAATTTTTTAATTTTAATTGACCTGCAAAATGAGAAGAAATAAGTAGTTTTCTCCATGGCTTTGTTAAATTTTATTTCACGTACAAAAAAATGTATTTTTTCCTCTTTCAGTAGAAATTCAACTTAAAATACTTAAGCTATACCTAATAATAAATTTGTTAAGGATATATTAACACACTAAAAATGTTGTGGTTACTTATATTTTGTTGCTACAGCAAAACATTTCTTAGATTAGTGTGGAGTTGTTTAGCATTGCAGACAATTGCAGACAATTAATTGTCTTAAGCTACTGAAATATAGAAAAGCAAAAGTACTTACGGTTTTAAACTATCCTTTTGTTTACCATTAAAAACTTTGCAGAAATATAGAAAAACCTACAGAAACCAATGGCTTGGGTCGTTACCAATCATTCAAAATGGAGATCCTACTGGAGATGCACAGAACATATGACTATTGGCGACTGCGCATTGGTGTCACGACTTTACGTGATGTTTTCGTGACGATTTGTATAAATATTTTGTAACGTTTTTGTAACGAGCTGCACGTCAAGAATTTTATACCAAAATTTAAAGTAAAATTATCACTATTTCGTGTGACTAACGACTTTATGAAAAAATTCGTCACGTATTTTCATAGACCCCTCGTCACGAATTTGGCGTCACGCAATTTATTTACTTTTTATTAAAATTTCCTTAATCGTAACGAAATATTGTCTCGTTTTCGTCACTTCCAATTTTTAATGTCACGTTGTGCTACCTGGGACAAACACAAATAATTACTTCCTCATGAAATTTTCCTGGTTTGTTCTATGATTTCCTTCTCGTCGCAAACTACGTAGTATATATAAATTTTAGGGTTAGAAGCAGACTGTTAGAGTCTTCTTGCGCATGTGTAGTACGGATGCACTATACTTGTAAAAATATTTATTTTCAATTTTTCGAGGAAAAGTCACTCTTCATAATTTCTTTTGCTTGTTATATAAATACCATTTACGATGAGAAACTCCTATTTTGTCAAACATGGTGCGCAAAAAAAATACAATTGTAGATTTTGCAAAATTAAAAAATGTTAATTTTTTTAAGGTCTAATATGAAGAGCTTGTAAGGATAAACCAAAAAGTCAAATAAAGTTTTTTCATGTGAGTTGTTGTTACTAAGATATTTGTTATTAAAAATAAAATAAATTCAATAGGTATCAAAAACTTATATGAAATGTGCTTAGGCACAGATCAAGCCCGCCTAGGCAACTTGTAAAGTCTATCAGTTTTTACAAAGTATTGGCACACGTAATCATATTAAATAAATGCCGAGCGAAGCGAGGCGGACTTGTTTAGTGCCTGAGCCCGATTTGGCGCGCGTTTAATTGGGCTAAGGAACTGACCAAGCCCGCCTAGGCTCTTTGTAAACGTAATTAAATTTAATAAATCATTTATTATAAATGCCGAGCGAAGCGAGCCGGGCTTGGTCAGTCCCTGAGTCCAAATTCGCGCGCGCAAAATTGTGCTCAGGCACTGACCAAGCCCGCCTAGGCTCTTTGTAAACGTAATTAAATTAAATAAATGCCGAGCGAAGCGAGGCGGGCTTGGTTAGTGCCTGAGCCCAATTTCGCGCGCGCAAAATTGGGCTCAGGCACTAACCAAGCCCGCCTAGGCTCTTTGTAAACGTAAACGTAAACGTTGGTTAGTGCCTGAGCCCAATTTCGCGCGCGCAAAATTGGGCTCAGGCACTAACCAAGCCCGCCTAGGCTCTTTGTAAACGTAATTAAATTTAATAAATCATTTATTATAAATGCCGAGCGAAGCGAGGCGGGCTTGGTCAGTGCCTGAGCCCAATTTTGCGCGCGCAAAATTGGGCTCAGGCACTGACCAAGCCCGCCTAGGCTCTTTATAAATGTAATCAAATTAAATAAATGCCGATCGAAGCGAGCCGGGCTTGGTCAAACAAAAACTCCCAGACGCGTGATAACTCGTTCTAATTGGTCGATTCTGATAATGTGACTCGGACAACGAAGAATATAATAAAATAAATTTTACTTACCCAGCAAAAACAGATCCCGCATAGGCTTCCAGGAAAAAATTAATCTGTGCGCGACGTAATCCACATTATGTGGTATTGGGCTTGCGAGGTCAGGAAAGGCCCCGTCGCCCAAATTATGGGTACTCGTAGTGGGCGGATTGTTCAAACCTATCGGTATATTAGGGATATTTCGCCCACGACGCGTACCCATAATTTAGGCGACGAGGCCAGTCCTGACCTCGCAAGCCCAATACCACATAATGTGGATTACGTCGCGGACAGATACTTTTATTGTGTCGAAAAAACTACCCGTGAGGACATTATTATTATTATTTTTATTATTATTATTATTAAAAAGGCGTGGTCCAGGTTATATACTCCAGCTCTGGGTCTTAAAATGCAAATTCTCCTACAGTTCCTCACCTTGCAGCGTAACTGGGCTTTTACAAGTCCAGCCTGCTGTAATGCAGTTATTAACTCTCCATCTGGCTTAGATGTAAGCTTATAAACATTATTAATGTTTTGAATACCTATTCATTTTGAAATAAGTAGCAAATAGCACAAATAAATTTACACTACTTAAAAGGTACCTATATCAATTAAATGACAACTGCAATAATAACAAATTTTGTTTAAAAACAAAATTTTCAAATTATAAAATTAAATTAAGTGCAAAAATTAATCCAATACCTAATATAAATAATTTATTTTAATAATTACATGTATAAGTATTTAAATTAAAATTATTTAAAGTATTTAGTTAAATGATAATATATTAAATTGAAATATGTTGTTATCTGGGTTGCCTACATAGGTACCGTTAATTAAGATAATATTATATAATAATAATTCCCATACTTATTTTGCTCATACTTCCGTAATTTCAATATTTCCTTTAATGTTTAGCATATTTCGGAATTTATTTTTATACAATATACATTTTCAATTACAAAATAATGTAATACTTTTGCCAATTTTAAACCTGACAACATTGAAATACATGATAACCAACCTTAAAACACTAATTCTGTCATTTTAAATTGTGACAGTTTAAAATTCAGTGCTGTACATAGAAAAGGTGACAGTTTTAAGCAAGGTTCGTTAAATTTAACACTATAAACATATATTTTAGCGAAAGTTTGGTTTTTCCGCACCTAAATATGCTTAAAATGTGGTTTTATATCCATTTGTGTCGAAAATTTCCAATAAAAATTGGAATTTAAGAGTGTGCTATTGTGTACTGGAACCCAAAAATTAATGCCACTTTCATAAATAGATACGATTCATTCGAAGTGTTATTTAGAAACTTTATAATTTGTTCAATTGACAACACTTTTGACTTTTTAGGTTCATATCCTTCATTCTGTTTTTTCAAAAATGCAATTAATTGCTTGTATTTTGAAATGTCATTGCCTTCATATATTTGCAACGTCCTCTTCAGCATCGAATATGTTGACCACAGTGACGATGCCTTCAGATTTTTGGAAGGCATTAGCCTCTTTCCTTTCCCGAAAAAAAAACCGCTAGCATAACATTTTCACTGACACCTTGTACCCTTTGATTGTTTCTCAATTGACAGAATTGTTCAAAAGTTTTATCATATTTTTCTTTTGTCTTAGATGGAAGCAGATTTTGAGTCGCTTCTCTCGCGGCTTCCAAAATACCTTCATTTTCTTCATCTTCCGACGAAATTCTGTTTTTATTTAATTTGTTGTCATGCGCTGCTACAGTTTAGCAGTTTTGTTAAAATATTCTTAAGTTTTCCACTTTTTGCATTAAGGATACAAAAAAATAGCATGTTCAACTCGTGAAATTTTCACTCACTGGAAAACTTACTTTTCTTTACTTGTAGAACAATCTACTATTATATTATTGGGTTGGGTAAAGTAAAATTTAAAGAAATTTAAAGAAGATAAAAACCCTTTTGATTATCGCATTCCATGCGTTGAATTCCACACATAGAATCTTCTCGTATGTTGAGCTCTAAACACATACAGAAACATAAGTTGCAGGCGCTGAAGTCAGTTGAACTTGTGGATTGCTTATTGTCAGTGGGAAATGTTTTGATGGACTGACTGAAATAACGTGTACTTTTTCAACAAAATAATTTGCTAACATTAACAAAATAATCTGTAACCTTTGAAATTAACCTTTACGTACCTTTCGGTAAAATATTTTCCTTTCTTAAAATAATGGTTTTCTACAAAAATTTATGTGTATTTTACAAAATAAAATTAACAAACTACAAACTCATGTTAACATCTAATTTTTATAACAGTGTAATACTACATAACACTTTTTTAGGCTTCCAGGTGGCCCCAGCCGAACTGGAAGAAATCCTTCGCAGCGTTCCGAACGTATCGGACGCGGCGGTGATCGGAATCCCGCACCCGCTCAGCGGCGAAGTTCCCCGAGCGTACATCGTGCCCAAACCGAACGCGAAATTGAACGAGGAGGAGATCAAGGCGACGGTGGCGGAAAGAGTGGCGCCCTACAAACAGTTGAAGGGCGGCATCGAGATCGTGGCGGCCATCCCGAAGAACGCCACCGGCAAAATTTTGAGGAGGCAACTCAAATTGGAGTACTTGGAGAAGAATGCGTGAATAGGATTTGAATTTTTTCATTGTTATAAAGTATTTTAAAAATTTTATATGAAGTATGTTTTAATTTTTTGTAACAGGATTAAAATCTATTTCAGAGTAAATTTTAAACGTATTTTTGTTTTTAACACTGCTATGAGGTTTAATTTATAATTTAAGAAATCAAAATAAATTTTATAAATCTTTTATAAACATGGTATTATTTATACAATATAACACACTGTACTGCCTTATATTTTTTCACTTTTAAATAGTTGGGTTTTGAAGTACTAATGATTATTTTCCTCATTATAATATGAACCAATCAAAAGCCTTGAATTTTCGAATAAATTTCGTTAAATAAGCGATTAAATCACTAGAACTATTTAACAGCGATTAAATTTTAGCCTCCATATTGGATTTTTGTTTACGATTTTATGGTGTTATTTACAAGTTTTAACAAACATTTAAAAAAAAACAATAAAAAATAAGTTATCTAGTTTACGAAATATCAATTATTACTTATTACATAACTTAAATTAATGGAATTTTCTTTAAAAAAATATTTATAAATTTTGACACATACGTCAGATTTTATGAATTGTCAAATAGTTTCCTTTAATTCGAGAAATAATCTAGACGTATATCACTCAACCTATAAATTTAATCTGTTAAACTATGCTCAGTAAGTTTTTTATTTGATTTTTCTTTTTGGAAAATTGTTTCATGCAAAATATTTAAAAATAAAACCCCTCAACCGCTACGCGGTCTCGTGATTTTATTAAATTATTTTGCATTCAACATTTTCCAACAAAAACCAAACAAAAAACTACTGAGCCTAGTTTAACCGATTAAATTCATAGTTCTTGTGATATAATATATGATTAAATGTGAATTTTATTTAATACATTAAAAATGAGTATAGATCAAAAGAAAGCAACTGATTTGTATAGCTGTTTATGTAAATAAAGTGCGATATATCGGAACCGTAGTAACGGGAATGTTGCTAAAAATAAATTTCCGAAAATATGATTCATGTTTATCTTTTGTTTTATGCTAATCCGTCATTATAATCACAAACAAAAATTTCGTAGTGATAATAAATAATGGAGAGATTTTGAACACCCCTTAGACATTTTTGTTTTTATAGTTTCCATAAAACTATAAAACTTAAATTTCTTAATTTCGTTACAGAAATATTTATATGGGTGATTCTACAAAAGTTGGGCAACTTTTGACCTTATTTTGTTTATATATTCGGAGAAAATTAATCATTATTTTGTTATGAGAACATATAATAAATATACTGTTCCAGACCGGACGAGTAACTTTTTCAAACACTTATATTATACATTAGATATCTTAAAATCAAATAATACCACACATCGGTGGCGGCTGGTGGATTTTGGGTATACCGATATCTCAATTATTAGATATGGGACCCACACCAATTTTATATGAGTTTATAATGACATTAAATAAACAAGTTCTGCAGAAGCAGAATTTAAATTGAAGTTTGCGAAAAAAAGATAACCGAAACATCGAACATGGAACTGACGACACGGTACTGATGAATGGAATACAAATTTGAGATTATAATTCGGAATAAAGTATTTTACTGATATTTTTTATTATTAACAGATCACATATACATATACGTAAGAAAATAACTTCTCTCCACAGTACTGAAATTTTGACTGGAACTATACGTGCATTCAGCATAACTTCGCCGCTTGCATTGTTTTCAAGATGACTGTCGTGCAATGGGCGGGCTCTGTAGGACTTGAACGAAGACTTGGCGTTTAAACTTCAATATTTCGCAGGAATTTTGAATTTTAACATTGGACACAGAACTGACGGGTAAAAGTGAGTACAAAGATTATCAATTTTTTAAAAATTGCTATTATTCGAATCTATGATAAAATATGAAAAATACATTATTTAATGTTTTATAGTTTGTAGTGAAATTAAAAAATTTAAGATAAATTGAATATATTTTAAAATAAAATCACTCAAAATGTTTTGAATATTTATTATGTTTTTCTACAAACGTGCTTTTGAAAAAATACATTAAAATTGGGTGGAGAAGTTAAAAAAACCTGAAATTTTTGTAATATACTGAAATATTTACAAAAAATACTAAAATACCTACTCTATTGATTGATGACCTCAAGTTGTCCAACTTTTGTAGAATCACCCATATCATTATATACCCTTAAAAAGTTTATGAAGGTTATCTGTGTTTGGTAACACTATAGTTTTATAATTAAAAGTAACAGAACTGTTTTGTGACCGGCAAAAGTATGGAACAAATTCATTAAAATACGTGCATGTATACAGGGTGTCCCATAACTAATGGAGAATACAGCAACTGTACAAATAGGAGGTCAAAATAGGTCGATTAACACAAATATGTCTTAGTAAAATGTTAATAATAATCGAGATTCCTAATGTGAAATCTGATTTTTGAAAATTTGTTATATTTGGAAAACTATTCAATGTATCAAACTAAAAATTTGTACACAATAGTTTTTAAGGACGAGAAATACAAATTTTTCATATTTTTTTATGCCACTCCTAGAGGGCGCTAATAATACAAGTCGAAAAAAGTATTAATTCACCCAATTAGCGAATATTTGTTTAAAATTATATGTTAACAGAGAAATATAAAATAAAAAACTTCCATATATCAACACTTACTATTTGTAGAATAACAAATAATATAATGATAATAAACTGAAAAAGTTTGACCTTAAAATATTTTGGAAAAGTTCATAAACATTTCTTCAATAAACACTTTTTAATTTGATCAAAAAACCCCATTAAAAACTATTTTAATAAAAACTATATAATTTTCCACTTTTAATAATAATCATTAATACCTCCAAAACTATCAGCCCAAAAGGTGTAAATGTACAAATTTCATAATCTATTCGAATCCCCCCCAAAAAAGGGGAGTACAAAAGTGGCGGAAAATATGAAAATTGTACATCAAAAAACCAATGCCATTATTATTGTTTAATATCAATTTAAAATTAAGCACATTTGGCTGAAGGCCCCCTGTCATTGGCCATTTAATCTTATGTTGAAATCTTACGTTGTATGTATTTACATAAGGATTAATAAATACGTTATTTATTTATTTATTTTGTACATCAAAATGTGTGGATTTTTTTTTAGAAAAAAACCCAAATTTTTTAATGAATTTGTTCCATACTTCTGACGGTCACTGTATAACTTCTTAAAGAACTACGTTCGGACACCGTAAGTTATATAATGAGGTTTTATTGGTTTCGGTTACCCTTATAAATATGATCTAAAGGTGTTTTTCCCATATTTTAATATTTCTCTCTCCCGCTTCATCGTACGCTATTATAGTCATCTTGTTCAAATAAAACGAGTAATTTAAAAAGCAATGGCTAGGTTATATAAAATGTTTGAAGATACAATTATATAACCTAAAGGTTACATCAACCTTGTATGCTAATTAAAAAACTCGTAAACTAAATGGCGTTTTATAAAACCCTGTTGTACTTATATACTAAGTCTACCTTTATAAAACTTGTTTCTTTAATCAAATGCAATTTGCTGTAAAACGTACAATAAAAAATATTGCATAACAAAACGCCCAAGATTATGGACCACCCGAAATAAAGCAAACATTTTGTCTACCTGTGTTGTAATATAACATAGTAAATACTGTGTTTTTAAACCCGGCTACCTGTAGATTCCACACGAAGTCAATAACCCTTCGCTGTTAACCTGTATGCATGTTGCATCCTGCAGCCCCATCAGAAATGCTGCATTGTATATATTGTTAACGTCACGCGGGAGCACGTGCCTACGTCACTCAGCCTCCTACACCCACTAGATTAATGTTCTTATACCATAAGATATTGAGTGCATACGGGGCTGACCAAAAATATCAATTAAATAACCCTAATTTACTTAAGTTTGAACATTATAAATACGTATTTGTTGAAAGAGTAAACATCTTTATGTTATAGTAAAGTCTGATTTATTAAAAAAATAAGTATAGTCAGGGTGTGTGTAAATACAGAGATAGAACAAATAAACAATTTTGATATTTTGACTTAAAAATTTAGCAATACAAATATTTTTTAGATGCTTTAATGTTTTTGTTATTAATTTTTAAAACACATGTCAACAGATTTTCCTGCTAATATAATTTTGTTTTCGGTAAATATTTCAAGTACCTAATTAATATTGACTAATAAACAAGTATATAATTAAATTTGGCATTTTGTTTTTTACGCGTATAAATAAAATATAATTTTAGTTTAAAAGCGATATATAAATTACATTAAAATTCTGCATTTATTATAAAATATAACCATACATGTTGTGTATTTAAAAACAAAATTAAATTAGGTTTGTCCTTAACCTTTCTTAATTTTGATTTGTTTTACGTACGAAAATATGTTTTTCTACTCCCACCTTTAAAACGCCCTTTATCCTACATGTTTTCAAGACACAGTGGCTTTAGTCACAGGCTGAAGTTAGCAACTGGTTTTTAGTCACGGGCTGAAGTAAGTTTTAAGTTAGTTTACAGTTGTCAAATGTCATACAATGTGTTTATTTTAAGTGCCTTTCTTGTAAAATAATACTAATTGTGAAAATTATTTTATTATCTCAATACAAAAAAACAAAAGTATTCGATACTTTCTTGATGCCAAGATTATATGAACGTTTTCGCCGTAGTAGATTTAACTGATAAATTGCTTTTATATCGATTGTTAGTCTATTTTCAAGGGATAAATTTTGATTTACACAGAAAAATTTGAGATTTTAACATGAATTCCAATAAATACAACAGTTGAATTTATTGGAATGCTTGTTAAAATCTCAATTTTTTCTGTGTAAATCAAAATTTATCCCTTGAAAATAGACTAACAATCGATATAAAAGCAATTTTTTAGAGTAAAAGATAAGAGATTGTTTTAAGGGCACTGTACGCAAAATTTTTAACGCTTTATCAGTTAAATCTAGTTAACTGTCACTTTGTGTACCTGTAACATTTCCCGTGTAAGAATTTTTACTACTTTGTGATAATATTCTGCAATTATAATAATAAAAAAATCAAAGTTATTTTATTATTAGTTATTTTAATATTTTAAAGTATCAATAATTGTTAAGTTTAATTAAAAGTATAACGGGCAATGTTAATGAACATTACGTCAAAAATGTTTATTTGGATGGATACTTTATTTTCGTATAGATGTCGCTTTAAATTAAATCATTTTTTAGATAACATTAAGTATTTTTAAAAGTAAAAAACCGATAAGTAATATCTATAATATATCTACAGGGCGTGCCATTTTCGAGCGAATTAAATCAATATTATGATAGAAGAGTTATTTAAAAATTTATAAAAAAATTTGGATGATAATTGCAATTTTACTTAATTTATAACAAATAAATATATTTTCGTAGGTAAAATAAAAAAAATAAAAATTAAAAAAGGTTAATGACAAACCTAATTTAATTTATGGTTATATTTTATAATAAATGCAAAAACTGTAAAAAATGACGGAACAAAGTTTAGGTCACATAAAAATGACGCCAAAAACTGATTGCAGTTTCTTGTTCGGGACCCTTTGGTGACTTAAAAATGATATTTACCAAAATCCTAGCTGCTCCTCTTTTCGAATTTTTTTAAAAATTCATGATTTTTTTTTTAATTTTTGTTTATCTTAATGTCTACCTTTGACAGAGTACACATTTGTACACCGATTTTTATAATATTGGAGTATATACTGTGCACATCATTATATACATGTATGAAGCAATTTTTGGCTAACCCTGCATGGTTAGCCAAAAATTGCTTCTTTTAATAAAGCAAAAGCGTAAATTCGTGATTTTGGCATGTTTTTTAGATATTTTTATGTTTATCAGGCTACAAAATGGGATTCTTATCAAGACTTTATAAGAAAAATTGATTTTGAATAAAATTAAATAAAATAAAATTTTTTGGAGATAAATCTGTTTTGTGCATTATGCTTTTTACTATATAAAAATGTGATTTTTGGCTAACCCTGTATAAATCTAATGATGTGCTCAGTATGAAAACAGTATTCTCCAAGTCTCGTTAACAATATACTCTAATATTATAAAAATCGGTGTACAAATGTGTACTTTGTCAAAGGTAAGATAAACAAAAATTAAAAAAGAATTAAGAATTTTCAAAAAATAACGAAAAGGGGAGCAGCTAGGATTTTGGTAAATATCATTTTAAAGTTACCAAAGGGTCCCGAACAAGAAACTGCAATCAATAAAAATCGGTGTACAAATGTGTACTCTGGCAAAGGTAGACTTTGCGATAAACAAATAATTAAAAAAAAAATTATTTTTTAACAAATTTAAAGAAAAGCAGTTAGAATTTTGGTAAATGACGTTTTTAAATCTCCAAAGAGTGCCGATCAAAAAACTTTAACCAGTTTTTCGTTCAAAATTGAAAACTTCTAAAAAGCCTAAATTAAACAACATTTTAAATATTCTCTAAGCGTTATTTTATTTAATTTTATTAAAAATCAATTTTTTTAATAAAAGGTTAATAATAATGCCATTTTGTAACCTAATAAACGTAGAAATATCTAAAAAAAATGGGGATACATCTGTTTTGCGTGTTATGCCAAAATCATGAATTTACGCTTTGGCTTTATTAAAAATAAGCGATTTTTGGCTCACCCTGTATATATCAAATTATGTGAAGAGTATTAAAAAGTATTCTTAAATTTAAGTCTCCTTAATAATATACTCTAATTTTATAAAAATCGGTGTACAAATGTGTACTCTGTCAAAGGTAGACTTTGAAATAAACAAAAATTTAAAAAAAAATCATACATTTTCAAAAAATTTCGAAAAGAGGATCAGCTAGGATTTTGGTAAATATCATTTTTAATTCACCAAAGGGTCCCGAACAAGAAACTGCAATCAGTTTTTGGCGTCATTTTTATGTGACTTAAACTTCGTTCAGGATATTGGCAAAACAGTTTTAAAACATACCTAATACGTTTTTTTCTAAATAGCCCTGTAGAAATGTCCGGTTGCCTGACAACGGTCGCTACATCACAGGGCACATGCCTATGTGTTGCTCACCTGCGCACCTTTGAGCGCACAGGTACCATTTTCAAAATTTATCCGGACAAAAAATGTTTGGTGATCGTAATTTGTAACAAAAAATTAAATAAATAATAATAGTATATTAAAGAACTAATGTCATAACTTATGACTCATAAGTAATGGACGAGTGCGACAAAAGGTCTTATGTCACATGAGTTCTTTATGCTATTTTATCTATTTTGCAAAAATTCTATAAACAAAATTAATTTTATACCTTAAATTGAATTTGGTCGAATTTTACTTTAAATGGTTGGTATCACAGTCATTGGTTTGACAGTTAATGTCAAAATCGATTCGCCATGCCGTCCTTAATTTACAATAAGCGGCTGTTAATGTTAAAGAAGAAAAAAAGGATTTTCTTTGGTGTTAAACAAAAGTACTAGAAAAATCATAAAATATTATATCCAAAATGCAAAATATTATGCTGTTTAAAGTAGATAGTCTATAGCAAACCTATAAAATCAAAATTTTGGGTGGGATAAAGTATCTCATTACAGCACCGAAAGCGGTGTTATAATGAAGTCATTATGAACGCAAAATAGATAAATATACATCTAGTACAGTCAATAGCTTTTAAATCTGTCAATTTTACAGCAACACCGGATTTACATCGAAACGTATAATCCAGCTTTACTGATTTTAAATAAATTAACGTTATTCAAATTAAAATTATTACCATGATTACTAACGGGACAAAAAGAAAGAAGACAAAATGTTTTATGGATATTTTTAAAGATATGTTGTTCCTATAACAATAATTTTATGATAGTTAATATTACTTAATTTTATTGCTGATAACTATCATAAAATTATTATTATAGATACAACACATCTTCAAAAAATTTCATAAAACATTTTGTTCTCTTTCTGTTGGTCCCGTTAGTAATCATGGAATCACACAGTGCCACCGGTTAAAATAAAAATATCATGAAAGTTAACGTCATTCTCAGGCAATTGATGGGCAGCCACTGGATACGTTTGCGACAAGTATAGTCGGCCCGTTATAATCATCGACAGCAGTAACGATAAGATCCACAATTAAACAACTTTCCGACTCTACCGCTTAAACGTTAGGTAGGTCATGTTTTTTTTATTCAATGATCAACACTAATGCTAAAGTGATGGAGAAAAGTTAGACAAATTTGATTTCTATTTTAAATCTATAATATATGTTTCGAGATAAAACTTCTGATACAACGATCAACCAAGGCGATCCCTAATCTGCTCGTTGTAACCAGTTGTTCGTAACAACCGGTTATATCCGTTCGGTCGTTATAACCGATCGTTCGTTATATCCGAAACACATTTTCAAAAAAAAACTAAAATTTGATCTTTTGTCCCGCTAAATCGGCCGCATGGTAAACTGTAGCGTTGGAGAGCGGCTTCATGATTTCACGCCGGCAGTCGTTCACAAAACAGTTGAAAGCGAAACTACGAGACGCGAAGTCGTGTGGTGCGCGTTCGCGACTAAAAATCAAGTCACAGGAAAAGTTTTTTCATTTTTTTTTACATCAGCCAATCGTTAGTACTTTTCAGTGTGACGTTGATTTGTGTTTTTTAAAAAATGTTTTATGTGCACGGATGCGCAATATCTTTAGGTATACAATTATATTTCTTTGTTTACATACTTATTTTTGTTTATAAAAAAAATTTCTGGGTTTTGCAACAAACAGTCTAGGATTTTATTTGCAGTTCCAATAAATATTCCAAAAGTTTTGCATTTTAACAAGCAATTATTCAAAAATTAAACAATTTATTACTTTCATTCTAAACATTTTATAAATTTCACGAAGTTTTTATCACAATTTGATAGTAGTAGTAGAACGCGTCTTTTTTACTGTTTTCAAGGTAATTTTTTCACTTTAAATAATTAAAACACATTTATTGATTAATAGATATAAACACTCAAAGTACTAATTATATAATTATTAATTTATCAAAACCCTTTAATAGTATATTATGTATCAAGTTTCATAAACGCCATTTTAGTCACGACGTTTAATTAGCTTGCGAGCGAGTGTTTAATATAAACAAGTGTATAGAGAAATTTATAACCGGGCTACATACTTTATATACGACGATCACAAAGGAGAATTTAAAGTCTGACAACTGTTGGACAAATTTAACCTCAATTTTTACAATGTTATAATAAAGCCCGTGACTAAAACGCCATTAAGTAGTAGATACAAATATTATAATTTATACTAATAGAACTATTTATTATTACATGTAAGAATGTATAAATTTTTAAGTTTTACAATATTCTTACAATGTAGGTATATACCTTTTTAATCTATATTCCAAGCTCATATTATCAAATACATACTGTTGTATGATTCATATTATGTATACCTGCGTACTTTAAAATGAAATTGCATTTTATGTTTACACTATAGTTACAATTGTATAGGTATTCTTTGTGTTTTACTTATCGTCAACCTATTTGAAATGATTTCCTAAAAAACTAGGCATCTATATTTATATACATACATATATGGCAATTTCTATTCTTATCGTTTTAATTATTGTAAATTCAAGTTTTTGAAATGTATACTTTTAATTAAATATTTTAAAATTACGAACAATTCAGTTTTGCTTGAAAAATTTCATTTCTCTAGAAAATTGTTAATTTAGGGTTTCGTATGTTTCCCCATATTTAAATTAAAATAAAATTTAGCTTTCTAAGGTTTTATTAAAAAAAACTATTGTAAATAAAAAATATTAATACATAAATATTTAAAAAGAAAATAAGAAATCTAATATTAATTAATAAATTGTGAGTTATTATTATACACTTAACATAATTATGTGTATAATGATTATCAATCATAGTATAACAATTTTTCAGGACACCCTGTGTATCACCAAACAATTTTTGGCTAATATTAAGTATTTGTCGTTGAAAAAATGTAGTAAACTTTTCTAGACCCTCATTTAATTAAGCACTCGCTCGCAATCTCGCTCTTCCTTGTGACTAAATCCAATTATAAAACAAAAATAAATAATTAACACTTAAAAGGAAACAAATTTATGAAACAAAGTAAAAGTAACAAAAATTAAGCTCACTTCCTGTGCCAATTATATCAATGAACGTATGTATAAATACAGTTTTAAAAACAAAATAATCACTCCATTGTTTCAAAAATTAGGTTTTTTTTTCGTCAAAATAAACGCTCGGTAACAATAGCAACGGTCCCAGCTACATAACAGTTTTTTGTGAACAATTTAAAACAGCAAATTAAATAATAAAATCTTCCAATTATTTTTGCGAAGTGTTTGAATAAAATTAATTAATTTATTTATTTTCTCAGCAAATGATTTTTTTTAGAGCGTGTTGTCTTTGTTTGAAAGTTTTACCGTGTGGTTCAACAAACTATATGCATTAGAAATAGGTTTCTCCGTTATAAATTACTACTTACATTAGGCATATTTTATTTATAAAACGTTCATGTATTATTTGTTTCTTACAAATTGTTAAAATGATATTAATTTAACTTGAATAGGAAATTATTGGTTTATATGATATTATTTTTAAATGAACGTGTTATTTAAAAAATAAAGAGTTATGCCACTGATAGAATATCATTAAAAATGCTTATAATCTTGCCTTAATCTACTAAAATAATTCAAATAATACAAATATTTTATATCAAATATACATACTTGGATAAATGATTTTTGTTATAACATTGTAAGGTTTATTTTTATTTTTTTAAATACTTAGTGTGTAAAAAAATGGTCAACAAATTGTAATGCAAGTAAAACTTTTTATTTGATAATAATATTATTAGTAAAGCTAAAAAAATATACATTTACAAATATTATTTATTTATATAAATTAATTATTGGTAGTGTAGGTAACTAACTACACAATTATATTTCTGAACTTAACGCAAAAAATTTTATTAATTAAAAAGGCAAAAAAATAAATGTAATCATCACTATTAAATTAAAAATTATGTACATTGGTTTTATAAAAAAAAAAGTTATTGATAAAAAGTTCTGCATAGCCTAAATCCCAAAATAAAATAATCCGATATCAATTTTTTGCAGTCGTATACGAGGTTCATCAAAAAATAAAAATTTTGCCAAGGAAGAGAACATGTACAGTACTCATTTATTTATTTTAGCATATTTCGGTATATTTTAGCATATATGGTGGTCTTTGTGCATAATTTATGGTTTTTATCGCGATTTTTATATAATATATGCTGCATTTTTTAATGGTTTTCCGTGCATACTTTTCACAACCTTATACATAAAATGTTATGTACATAACATAATATGTAAATTTGTATCTAGTACATATTTACTGTTTTTATATCTTTATATTCTAAAATATTTATTTTTTCTTTTTTCGAATTTTAATAAATATTTTATACGATAGGTACTAAATATTACCCAGTTTTTATGACTTTTTAAATATATGTACATATTTATATCATATTTGCTAAATTGTTCATATGCTAATAATAATTATGACTGTTTTTACTAGAATATGTTTTTGTTTTTAATTTTAATTTGTTTATTTTTAAAAAGCTAAAAAGTACTATCCCAAGTAGCACAAGTGATTAAATAACTAGCATTCTAAGTAAATTAACCTAAATCTAAGTAAAATAACGTTTTTTTAAACCTGTTAAGGTAACAATGAACTAAAAAATAACTTTAAATTTACCAACCGGTTGCTATAACCTTAAGGTAAATACAAAGGATATTTTTGTAGTGTAATTTGACTAATAAAAGAAACCCATATGTCCATTTAAACTCTAGGCATAACCTAAATTTACCTATAAATAAATTAATATTTAACTTGCTGGTAAATTAACATTAATTAATAAACTGGTTAAAAAAGTTATAGTATTGCAGTTTTCATTGTTACATAGAAAAATTAGTCTAAATACTAAACCTATAGGTTGTGAGTTTTGTGTGATAATGGAGGCTAAAAGAAATAATTTTAAAGTACGAGGTGTGTTCAGAAAATATCTGGAATTTTCGTTTTTTGAAAAAAATATTTATTTATTCGTCTACATTAATGTTGTCGCCTTCAAAATAGTCCCCATTGGATATTATGCACATGTGCCAGCTCTTCTTCCAATACTCGAAACACTTCTAAAACTCGATCTTTGGGATAGCCTTTAGTTCTTTCAGCGATGCGCTTTTAATGTCACCTATGCTTGCAAAACGACGGCCCTTTAAGGTTCTCTTTATTTTTGGGAATAGGAAAAAGTCAGACAGAGGCATGTCTGGCGAATATGGAGGCTGGGGCATCATTACAGTATTGTTTTTGGCCAAAAATTTTGTTCAAAATTTAACACTTTTGGAACAAATTTTTCTGCCACGCGTTTCATACCCAAAACATTCGAAAAAATTTCATGAGATGAGCCAATCGATATACCAACATCATCATCGACTTCTCTGATGGTATATAACCATTTCTTCCACTTTTTCCATGTTTTTATCGGTTGTTAATGTGCTTGGGCGTTCGGGGTTTTCGTCATCTTCAACGTCTTCACGGCCATCTTGGAAACTCTTATACCACTTGTAAACTTTTGTTTTACTTATAGCAGACTCACTATAGGCCTTTATTAACTTTTCCCAGAATTTATTTCATTTCTTAAGCAAAATTGGATACAAATTTCTTTGATCCATTTCTTTTAACGAACGAAAATCGCCGAGCTCATAAAACACGTCCAACCTTAGCGGCTGCCACAGACAAAGTAAACGATGAAAACAGCTAAAATTTTTATCATACTTCGGGGGCATGTATACCAACATAATAAAGAAAATTTTATTACAACCGGACCCTCCGAAACCGCGAAATTTAACAATTCCCGTTAGTTTCTGAACACACATCGTATATAGAGATTCCCATTGGTTGTTCTCTTTAGGATATTAATTGATATTTTTATCCAATGGTTACATTAACCGATAAGTTAAATTTAACCATAATTGAATTGAATTCACCACTTGTAGTACAATATTACTTAAATGAATTAACCAGGCATAGCGTTATTTAACCAGTTGTGCTATTTGGGATATTCCTACTAATTTAGATGTTTTACAAAACATTTTAACATTCTTTTAGTAAATGTACAAATATTTTAAAGCTTTAAAAATATTTCCTCATATTTTTCTTTACACATTTTAAGGTTTTTCACTTGCATTATTTGTAAACATTTTTGTTTATTCAGTATTAACAACCAAAGTTTATCGCCCCTTTTATTTGCACAGTTACCAAACTAAACCTTATCCCCCTAATAACAATTTCACATAAATATAAACACAACAAAACTTATATGGAATCACCCAGTCTTTACAAGAAACAGTATTTTAGATAGGGGTTTTGAATTATTAATTGTTTCGACCTTTACTTGATGAAACTCCATATTAACTACATATTATGTGGATATAAAAATAACTTTGTTGTAAAGTTTCACGAAATTTATTAAATTTTGACAATTGTTTCGATACAGAGTAGCTTCTTCAGAATCAGATTCTGAAGAAGCTGCTGTGTAGCGAAACAATTGTCAAAATTTAATAAATTTCGTGAAATATTACAACAAAGTTGTTTTTATATCCACATAAGGTTTTGAAAATTAAGCGTATGTAGGTATTTATATTATATACAGGGTGCCTTAAATATTGTGATAAACAATCAAAGATCAACAAATATTAGAAATATTCCCCAACACCAAAACAAAACACAAAGTGCTTAACCCTTTCGTACGCTATGTCCACTGGAGTGGACATTTTTTTTAACACCATTTATATTTTTAAATATTAAATATTTTGTCTCAAAAACATGTTGTCCATTATAGCGGACTAGACATAAAACACAGTAGATGACCGTATAATTACTTGACCTCTCTAAAGTAACTTTGTCCATTCCAGTGGACATGTCATATTATGAAAAAAAATAATGAATGCAACTATAACGAAAAAAAAATTTTTTTTCAATAATTTAAGTTTGGCTCCGAAAGGGTACTTTTCTCCGACAATGTTGCTATCTTCAGAAGCGAAGAGTAACTCAGTTATACGAACATATCCAAAGACGGCTAATGTGCAAACTTGGATAGTTTATAAACTAGCTGGATAGTGTATAAACTAGCCAAACTGTCAGCTATTTTAAACATATTTTTAACTAAATTAGCGGCTAGTTTACAAAATAACCAAGGATCTTGGCTAATTTACTTGAAATTATTAGGGAAACTAAAATAGCTGGATAGTTTGTATACTATCCAATTCAGTTTGGCTAATATGAAAACCAAAATTTCTAGTAACACAAAATAGCCAAGCTTTAGCTAGTTTGTAAACTAACCAACCAATTCTCTGGCTAATTTATTAAAAAAGTGAGGTTACGGCATTGTTTTTCGTTTTGCCGGCTTAACCGGATTTGTTGTTATGCATTTTAACGTTTTTAAAATGAATCGTAGGCAAAATTTTAACGCTTCCTTGTTAGAAAACTTAACAACACAACCCTACCGACCCCGCCCCATTGCCCCCCCCGCCCCATTGGTCAAATGGTCAAAAATGAGAGAAAAATACCCAAACCAACCCAAACTCAACAACACAACCCAACCGACCCCGCCCCATTGGGCTCCCCGCCTCATTGAGCAAAAAACCCATCTAAAATGGGCAATAGCCAGAGGATTAGTTGGTTAGTTTACAAACTAGCTAAAGCTTGGCTATTTTGTGTTACTAGAAATTTTGGTTTTCATATTAGCCAAATTGAATTAAATAGTATACAAACTATCCAGCTATTTTAGTTTCCCTAATAATTTCAAGTAAATTAGCCAAGATAATTGGTTATTTTGTAAACTAGCCTAATTTAGTTGAAAATACATTTTCAATTAAAATAGCTGACAGTTTGGCTAGTTTATAAACTATCCAGCTAGTTTATAAACTATCCAAGTTTGCACATTAGCAGTGACATATATATATGTCAGAGATTAACGAGGGCAACTGAGGGTTAGGCTGCCTAGACATTTTAAAAGAATGCACGACACTGGTTTTTAATATAAAGTTATTTACTAAAACGCGTAGTCAGATTAATCTGCACAGAACACAAAATTAATAATAATCGTCCCAAATTAATTATTAGCTATAAAAAGGAAACCAACGATCCGCGACCCGCTAGATCAACAATAGTCAATCAAAAATCAATTCAGAGATTCAACTTGTCATAAGAAGAATCAAGAACACTCTGGGCTCGTTTCGTTCGCTAAGCTTATCGCCAAGCGGTTTCCCTTAAAAAAACCTTTTACCCCTCCTAACATATTTTCTACGTCTTAAAGAACTATAACTAATTTGTCTAGACAAATTCACATAAATTATATGAACTAAAATAAACGTATCGTATTAGTGATAGACTTAATCATAAACACCCAATACGAGGAAAATGACATTCTCCACATGCTTGGGACCTTTTGTTTAGCCTAAACATCGTCACACAAATCTTATCAACAAAAATAAACAAAAGGGTGAGAAAGAATCATGAGCGTACACCAATAATTAATAAAGGCGCCGACATATATAAGAAAGACTATATTTAATCTTTGACATATCACCAAAGTTGAACTTTTTCAAGAATCAAAGATTAAATCAATTAAATGTAAATTTTCTGGTTATGCTGTATAATCGGCAGACTAGACTGTAGTTGCTCAACCTGAGATCATGAACGATAAAAATTATCATATTTTTAATCCGCAGATTCCGAATAACTTAATATCACACCCACATTTATTGTTGTGGTGATAAGATAGTAACTCATATAAAAAACATCATAAAAAACAATTCAGTACAGGATGTTTCATCTGATGGTGGTGACGTTTTTCGCTGTGGCACGCTGCAACCCGATGCCCGACGAGTGGGTCGGCACTTCGCCGTTCAGCCACTTCACAGCCGACGAAGACCACAGGTACAACGACGTTTTCACGTCGGCTTTCCTCAACGTTAGTTACAACGACGCGAGAGGTTACCACACCGACAAAACCGAAGTGGGCCGGTACGGGGGCGGCCCCATAGGCTCCATGTTCGGCAAGATCGTCCACGTGACCTCCAAGACGGACAAAAACGACCATTCCGGGTGCACTTTGCCGCTGATGAGCTCCAATGGCGACGGGGCGTTGCCCCTGCCCGGCGAACCCTGGATAGCTCTTGTGAAGAGGGGAAGGTGCAGCTTCGAGACCAAGGTGGAGCACGCTTTTCACAGCGAGGCCTCCGGGATTTTGATTTACAATGACAGGGACAGTGCCAATTTGGACAGGATGTCATTGTCCACAGAATCTTACCGTAAGTAGATTTATCTTTGGGTGTTTAGAGATGCGACTTGAAAAAAAAACGGTTTTTTATGTTTTTTTTCATTGTTTTTTTTTTCAAATGGTTTTGTTTCATATTTTAGGGTTTTTTCAAGATTAGTCCCATTTGCCTAATTTTTTATGTTTCATAGACTAAAATGGGGTAGTTAAATTTTTTCTGACCTATACTTTTTATGGTTTTATTCAAGGCGTTTTGTAATATTAAACATTTCTGTGAAATCAGAATTTCAATTGAGTTTACCGTTTTCGAGATATTTACAAAAAATATAAATAAACCTCGCCATGTGACCAACATTCTAAGATTTCTATTGGTTGAAAATTATCCTGTTGTCAAGTTGTCTTGTTAATGATTTCATTCGGTTATGTCAGAAAATACCCGAAGAGGTTATGTACAAATACTGTCACTGTCAGTTGAGTGAAAGATGGTCACCAAATTCATTAAGTACCTATCTTCCTTATTACGAGGTATCATATTACTGTTTGATATTTTAGAGTCCAAGATATATCTAAAAGAATATAAAGAACTAGGCATTATACTAATGAAATGCATTTACGACAAAATATGATTATAATTATAGGTACTTACTTTATTTGTTTAAAAGCTCCAATGTTCAATGTAACCAACCATTCCACAAGATTCCTCTGCTTTGGAGTCCGTTATTAATCAATCACTTACCTAATATCAATTACAAATAACATAACAATAACATTGATTTTCAATAATCTAAATTTAAAAAAAACATAACCCAAAAAAAAGAAACGTCAAAAAATCAATTCTTCTTCTTCTTCTTAACTAAAATTATAGATCATGTGGTTTTAAAACTAAAATATTATAACGTGGCGCCATCTATCGTAAGAATCTTAAACTAAACACACTGGCAACCATAGAAAAAGCTGGCAACGTTGTCAATAGCCTAGTGACGTATTTAGGAGATTTTTTTTTGTAAATATCTCGAAAACTCAATTGAAATTCCGATTTCACAGAAATGTTTAAAATTACAAAACGCCTTGAATAAAATCATAAAAAGTATAGGTCAGAAAAAATTTAACTACCCCATTAGCCACTAAATGACATTTAGTAAATGTAAATACAGTCTCGCGCTATGCACGCGCCACTACCTCCGATTTGACCAATAAGGGCCGCGCTTGTTTTGATTTGGTCCTAAAAAAAGTAACTACCTAAGAATAATATTTTTGATTCAGCGCTTGATTTTTCAAAAAGCTACCAAAAGCACTTTTTTCATGATTTTTCAAATTCATGTTGAGTATGGAATTTTTTTTTTCAAAAAAACCATATCAAAATCTTGTAGAACATTTATTCATTGGTGGTTAAGTCAGAACATTCCGTGGACCAAAAAAGAAAGCCAAAAAAAATTCGATTTTTTTATTTCGGTATTCGTTAGGATTGAGCGTTGCACGTTTTTCATCTAAAAATCTCAAAACTAGAAACTTCCAGCTTCAAATTGCTTTTTTACGGCTCCAATACGACCATTTTTAACGAAGATAGTATCTTCAAGATAAGGCTATGTATCCGAAAAAATCGCAAAAAATTTGGAAATTTTTTTTATCCTTTAATTTTTTCTATTAGTATAGAAGTTTTACATTGCTATTGGTTTCTTATGTGGAAACTTCCAAATAATAAAAAATCAGATTTTTTAGTCTTGGTCAAAATTTTCAACATTGAAAAATGTAATATGTTCTACATTTCACTTTGTTATTAATATACATTTTACTCAAAATTTCATTTTGAAAAAGTACTCAATTTTTTAAGATTTGTGTTATTTATTGACAGAATATGGTTATTTATGCACTCGAACTCTCTACTTCTTTTACTCATTTTACACTTTTTATTAAATAAATAAAACCATGATAAAAATACCTTGTTGAAATATCAAAAAATATCAGTAAAATGTCACTATGCCAACACGAGAAACAAAAGAATCCACGTTTGCGGAGTCATGTCAAATTTAAATTTTGAATAATGTTTTCGGTAAAAAAAGTACGTAAAAAACTTAAAAAATTCCAATTATGCAGTTTAGTTAGGTTTCCCAAACATATTAAAAAATAAATGAAAAAAAAAATAAAAGAAAAATCGTCAAAAAGCTGAATTTTGGTCTTCCACTAAAAAATAAATATCTTCGCCATTTTTCCATGTACCTATTGTTATCAACATTTTAACATTAGCTTGTTTTTTTTTGTAAAAACGTCAGCTTCACGAAAAAAACTGGAGTTATCTGTTTGATTTAAACCTTTACCAGGACGATATGAAAATTTTCGACCTCAATTTTTGCCATAAAACGAATTTTTTTAAGTTATTAAAATCGCTAGCGTCAAAATACTTATCCGATATCAAAAGTATGAAAAAGAAAGTTTTAGAGGGCTCAAATACCCTTAATTTAAGGGCTTGTTTGACCAAATCGATCAATTAGATTTCAAGCTATACTTAAAAACGTCAAAACACCTCCGAAAATTGAAAAAAAACAATTGAAAATTCATATTTCAAAAACGCTTCCATAAGAGAAATTGAGTGTGATTTTTGTGTTTAGTGGGTCAATATACATGGAAAAATTATAATGGGATATGGTGGGCAGATTTTTTTTGATTTTGTAAACTAGTGTAATATGCCGCATATTACTCCACCCTCTTATCCACCCATTTTCTGCTGTACCGACATGACTTTTGGGACACCCTGTATGCAGAATACTTTTTTGGGTATGCCAACCAAAAATCGAGCATCGACATCTTAGTCTATTTTGGGAGTTTAATTATAATAATTAATTATACCTAATGATCTGGGTTTAGTTATTTAGATTGCATTTTTTAAATTGCAGGTGTTTTCCTTTATATTATTAAAATATTGATGCTACCTTTAGAATAAAACCTGCTGTACAAGATTTTGCAAGAACTTTAGTTTTTAATTTATTTACTAAATTTCTGTGTAACGTACTAAATTTGGATTGATTTACCACCAACTAATTTTTTTCTAAATATAATTTTTTAACACTTTTTATTAAAATTTAATGTCCTCACCTGCTGGGCGTATGTTGACAATTTACACCCATATGTGGCCCAACGGATGGCGTGCTTAAACATACATATGGTTTTAATAATATCAACAGGAATTGCAAAAATAGACATCCTATTATAGTATTAAGTAATTTTAATGTTATACAGGGTGTTATTTAAGTATTTTAGTCAAAAGTTAGGTATAATTTTAATAATAGTAAATTTAAAACGGCACCCTGTATATTTCAATAGGAAAAAGTATAAATGACAAAACAAGACATATACGTATTTAGGTTTATTGGATTAAAATAGGTGGTAATTTAATAATGGATATTGACCCAGGTCAGTATATTAACTGCGCACCACTCAATGTGTCGCGACCAAAAAGTTCTTCCTTTTTTAAAACGGCATAACTTTGTTGTTTCTTGAACGATTTTATTTTTGTCTGTGATGTCTGCTAACCCCATCCTCTGGCAATTCATGCTATAGATATTAAGCCCACGGTTCTTCAAGTAAATTTCCTACAGGGTGATATGTAAAACGGTGAAAAACTTCAATAACTTCATCCAAGCCCCGTTTGAAAAAAGAAATATTTTTTCTCGTTTTTACTTTGAAATAATAAAGAATTATGTCTTATCTTGAAAAGGTTTTCAAATTTTTCGAATTGGAATCTTAGCAACGAAAATCTGATTTTTTTTTACAAAAGAGTACATTTAAGGCTTTTTGGTAGGCAATACACTCAGTCTTTTTAAGAACAAGAAAATAAGATGGTGAAAGATTATTCCTTGAATAATTCTGAACAAGCGACAAGCAACAAACTTCCATTATTTTCAAAGGGGCCTAAGTAAAGACCACTTTTTCAAAATGACATTTTGGTAAAAATTTGCAAAAACTAAACCTGGACCGATATTTACGTTCGTGACATGTTTTCTTTATAATTTTGACCTCCTGATTGTGATTCAGTTGTCAAATTTAAGTTTCAGATAAAACCAAAATCACCAAGAATCAAAATTCGAAAACAATTTCCGGCTGTTAAATGTAATAAGTAATAAAATCCGAAAAAAAATTATATCGTCGTAGCTAAGATTCCAATTCGAAAAACTTTAAAAACATTTTAAGGTAACACATAATACTTCATTATTTTAAAATAAAAACGAGAAAAAAATAATTTTTTTACAAACGGGGCTTGGATGAATTTATTGAAATTTTTCACCGTTTAACATATCACCCTGTAGGAAATTTACTTGACGAACCGTGAGCTTCATAACTATAGCATGAATTGCCAGAGGATGAGGCTAGCAGATATCACAGACCAAAATAAAATCGTTCAAGAAACAAAAAAGTTATGTCGTTTTAAAAAAGAACGAACTTTTTGGTCGCGACACATTGAGTGGTGCGCAGTTTAGTTAGTTCCACTTTTTTTTAATTTTACGTAAAAAAGCTTCACTTGTTACAAAGAGATGGAGCCAACCACAAGCCACACAACAAGGTCTGTTCTATCTCTCATAGTATACTAAAAATACTAAAATTCACTGCAACACTGCAAAGAGTTTAACGGCGGCCATTTTTGTTGTTTACAATTCTTGTGCTTTTGGTTTGTGCTGTTTATACAAATTAATAATCATTTTAAACATTGTGTTTCTTACAGACGCACTTGTAAGCCTTAAAAGAGGCCTTAAAGTGCTAAGGGCAACCTTTTTACTACTCTTTTGTAAAAATTAACCTAAATACTACTTATTTTTCTAATTGTACAGGATGGAATAAAAAATGACATTCACCCCATTTTGAAAAAAGTCTTATACTTAGTCCATATTTTATTTGGGTAAATAAATATTTTATTTACATAACTTCTCATGATTTTTAATTACATAAAAGACATTATGACTAATTCAATGAGTAATACAAAATAAACATATTTTGACGAATCCAGGCAAAAAACTTGATATCATTAACGACTGTAGCAATGTT